AGGCAAATGCAAACTTGTTTGTACATATACAAACAAGTTTAAAATAAAATTACGTAATGTAATACATATATTATATCGTCTTTTATTAAAAAAGCTGTAATTTTAGTGGGCGCGTTTTCGTTGTGTTAGGTTATAAGTATTTAACCTTTATTTTATTCTTTATCGGAAGGAATATGTCCTTTAGATTCAGCATGCTAACAAGTATTAATAATAATAAATTGATTAAATATTTTAAATAAATTAAAAAGATGAAATTATGAAACGGTATAGCCTAGTTGATTTACTTAATTTTCTTAGGCTACGTTAAACCTGAGAACCGTGTAACCCTATAAATAAAGTACTGTAAATGATATTATATAAATCATGTCAATATTATTATTTATAAAAAACGAGATTGCAGACTTAAGACAAATACATGTTTACAAAAAAACAAATATATATACCATATTTGTATTGTCCACGCGGTTATGACTTGTAATATAATATATACATAGTACCTATTTAAAGCGTACATTTTCTTTGTAGAGGTATACGAATTTGACGTGAGAATTTTCGATTGGAAAATTAGGGTGTTTTTCGATATTAAGCCAAAATAAGGTGAAAAAATAAACATCTTAAATCAAAAAAATTACATTGTATTCGGGACATAAAAAGGTAAGTTTTCACTAAATTTCGTGATATTTTTTTTGTAAAAGATAAAAATAATAAATTATAATAAAAAATAATAAACTTTGCTATTAAACTTTTTTCATAGGACTTTTAGTTTTGCCAGAAATCGAGATAAACCGTTTGTTACCCTTAAAAACTCACCCCCTCCCATTTCCCGATCTCAGATCGCCCGTAAATTATTGTTCAATTTTCTTTCCAATGGGTTTCATCCTACTATTATTTTTTTGTCACTTTTTACCATTTTGAAAGGCTTCAGCTCTGGTCTATTATTAAGTATTTAACTCCAACTAAGGAATAATCTTTAGTAGGTATGCCGTATGAGATAAATATTTAAACTTAGACTTATATTCATTGTATTTTCGTGTACCTAATATGTTTACGTTTCTATTTGAAATGATGTGTGATTTATTTAGAGTACAAGATATGATTGTACATTGGCGGTAAAAGAAAGTAATATACGCATAATATGAAAATTTACTCTTTGTTTTTTTTTTATTTGATTTTATCCATTCAATCTTTAATAATTGCCAAATTATGCATAGAAGACTAATTAACACGGTTTTTCGTTAGAAATCAAAAAGAAAAAAAATGAAATGTACCTACGTAAAATGATGATTGATTGATTTTCTGATGATGCTGCATTATCGGAAAATGGTTAAAAATGATTTTAATCAATAAAGTAGATCGTTTCTTATAGTGTTACTAGGTGGCGCTTGCATCAATGTAAACTTTTGATTGAAAACTTTATAGATTTGTTACTTTCAATTTAATTCAATTCAATTTTCTTGCAATAAAGTAAAAATAGAATGTTTACTTTATGGTTCCTAGTATAGTACCTATTATGTCAAGTTTGCTTATTACTATTGTAAATAATTAAAAAAAAATATTTTCACAAAGTCAATTTAGAAAATATTAATTAAACAGTTATAAAAATCCTTTTATGTCCATTTACACACCGCTGTCTATTATTTCCCAATTAGTCCAAGGACAAGTGTTCATTAATATTATTTAATATTTTTAATACAAATTAGTATGTATTAGGGCCATATTTTATTAACCGACTTCCAAAAAGGAGGATGTTCTTCCATATATATGTTTTATTTTCATGTATGTTCACAAATTTTTCTCGGAGAAGGCGTCTACGTGAAACGATATGGTACGGTAAAAAACATAATAGCTAAGCTTGCCACCATTTTCACAATTTCCAATCTAATATTAGGTTTTTTCAATATTTACTGACGATTTTAATTTTTTTCTTATAAAATAAAGCATTTTATTTTGCCTTTAATTTACATAAAAGTATAATAAATAGATAACTTATAATACTATTTCAGGCTTCAAACGTATACGGCACACTGCAGATAAGTCAATACCGTACAGTGTACACGTACAGAAACAGATTCATACAACTTGCTATAGGTTTAATATATTCTATACAATATACATATTACATATTTACATCAACTGCGCAAACAAAACGCGGCAATGTGTGCGTGACCACTCTCCGACGAGTCCACACACACGCCTCTTGTCCACAAAACCGGTTTTGTCTGAATCAGCCAGTTGACAATCGCAGGGCGAGCGCGTCACAAGTTATAAAAACTTAAATATTTTGTGTTATTTTGCTATTCACATTTACTATTTATATAACAGTGTTTACTGTAAAAAGTGTTAATATGGCTATTTACTGCACTGCGTGCTTAAATCACACCAGAAAAAATAAAAATATATCTTATTTCACATATCCAAAGGAACCAATTAGGTAAGTATTTGCTAACTGTGTACCATTTATTAATTCTTACTTTTTTCTTCAAAAGGATATTTTTGCTTATTTATTATATTCCTGTAATAGGATTATCTTTTAAGTATCAGGGGTTTGTATTAAATTAACTTCTTTTTTGATGTCGCTAAAAATTATGGAAACCCAATATCGAGTCCCTTTCGGCTGTCAACGGGCAGGGGACTGTAAATATTTTAATCACTAAAACACGGTGAAACCCTATAGGGATGTTGCAGGTTCGCTTGCACGCACAATAAAACACTTTATCTTATTTCTTAAATCATAATGGAGAGTTAATATTTTTACATACATATTCTATAAAAAATATGGTTTCATTCGGATTTCATAACAACTAAGTATAGAATAGAAAATATGAACACGTAGTACATCTAAGATATATCTTTTTTTCCACTCGCGGTTTACTAGGCGTAGTTACCGAGATATAAGCTTCTAAAGTCGTGAAAATTATAAATCTCTTTCCATTCTAACTTTTAAAACATGACGTAGAAAATTCTAGAAAAATTGATATAATAGAGCTTCTAGAATACTTTCAACGGAAATTAATTTAAAGGAGATAGGTAGTAGTTTTCGAGATATAGATACTTTCTGTTGGTACCTTTTATGCGTTATAGGAATATGTACCTACTATGAAATACAATTTTATTTTTGCAGTCGATAAAATGGATATTGTTGATGGGTAAATATTTTATATTGCTTTTAACGTAAAAACGTCATGTCCAATCTCCATATAACGAACTTCTGTTTGTGTCGTTGGTAACCTAATTTTAATTGTTAATTTTATTAAATTAACCACCATTGTCCATTCTTATTAAGAGGCCTATTACAAAATGTACTGTGTGTGTTTTCTAAGGTACTGAGTTCTAGCAGCCGACGCATTGCATTTTGTGTAGTTGTAATTATTTTTATGTAAAGTTTTATATTTAAACTAGCATTGCCCGCGGCTCCACCCACGTTCAGATAACTAAAAACCAAATTCTTAGGTTTTACGTATTAGTATACTCTTACAATGCAGTTTTTGTGTTTTCTCAGAAATGAGATATTTTCCCGCGGTAAAAAGTACCTATCCTATATGTTGACCCGGATAACCAGCTATCATCATACCAAATTTCATCAAAATCTGTCCAGTGGTTTTCTCGTAATGCGGTAACAGACAGACAAACAAAAATTCTAAAAACTATAGATTCGGAATCTGTATCGATAATAATGTCTATTTCAATTAGATTTTCCAAAAAATATTTAATGAACAGATTCGACTTAGTTACAATTTTATTATAATATAATAAAATTGTAACTAAGTCGAATCTGTTATTATTATGTATAGATAAATTGTTTAAAAAAGTATGTAATTACGTTTCTTTTGAACTGGCATAAATGGGATTCTGGTATAAATTTTACTTAATTATATTAATGTTGTAAGGATATATTTACAGCTAATTCTGAAAATTTTTAGTAGTGTTTAAGATTTAGAAAAGATTTTTTTTGTAAAAATCTAATACATATTTTTAAATTCCGAGGCCGCTATAAACTTAACCACTATAAACGAGATACAATTATACATTTTTAAATTCGTTTGTTTATTATAGTATTTCAATCCATGAGCTGGGAAAAGTGAGGTTGCACATTTTATTAAAAACTTGCTTCCGATTTTGGCTTTATTTCAATACATAATGAAAATTTGCGAAAAGCGAGGCCGCTATAAACTACATTAATAACTATTCTCCACCATATAATAAGTCAATATTGTCGAAGAGTTTCAATTTCTCTGAATAAGAACGCCAAAGATGGGTATTTAATTGAAAAATCACTGTCGTAATGTAATATCTTAAATGCAGAAAATATTCCCAAATTTTCCTTTCTATTTCTAATTCTATAACAATTTTACCGAATTTAGCCATTTCATGTTTTGTATATTGTGGGTAAAAATGTTTATTTATAGACCAAATCCACAACCATAAAAATAATAATATGTTATAATGTATAATAAAAGTTGTATAATAATAAATAACAGTACTTTATGTTTATATTAGCTATTTATACATGGTTTTTATATGGGGGGTTCGTAAGTAATTTATTTAATTATATAATATAGGTACTTGTAAATTTTGTTGTGAATGATGAGACTAGCTAGCGATATAATATAAAATTATGTTTTAAATTTTTATATTTCCTACATATTAAAACTGTTTGTACCATATACATAGAGAATGGACTGAGTGTTTCCTATGCATCTGTAAGTTGTAAAGCAAATACGGGTAAGAAAAATGAAAATTTGGTAGAGATAAAGCGAACGTGCGACCAGCAGTTGTCCCTTTCTAGAATTCTGATTGGCCGACATCTTACGCAGGAGCGGACATTGACATCTATGTGACACTTGACAGTTGACTACTATATGACACTTGACAGTTGACATCTAGGTGACACTTGTAGCGATTTAAAGTGACGACTGACGAGTGTTTATTTGTATTTTTTTTTCAAAAGGTGATTGAAGTATGTACAGTTGATTAAATTTATTATAAAGTTCTTCCAAAATATGGTTTATACGTGTTTCTTGTGTAAGTGGAGAAGTGATAAACACCCTCAGAGATCCTATCACAAGTAAGTGCACTAATAAGTGAGATTACTACCATCGTAAACAATCCCTATTACCTTATATTTATAATAATGAATATTTCATTTTTAATAAATGATAAACGAATTATTTTTTTGAAAATACATTCTTGAATAAGATAGTTATTGTAATATTTTTAGCACAAAATATCAAAGAGTATTCATTTGGAGAATGTTACAGATTTCCTTCAAATAATGAATTGAAGCAGAAGTGGTTGGATATTTTAGGAAAGAGCAATGTCTCTGTAGGAACCCGCACAACATTATGTTGCTTGCACTTTAAAGAAGACTGTTTTCGTTATGGACTAGTCTATGGAAGGAAAGTGTTGAAGGATGGTAGCTTGCCAACACTATATTTAACAAAAGGGGATAAAAAAGGCCCAACGATTAAATCAATTGATGATATAAAAATTCTTAAAGCTCCGACGGAAAGTAGTTTGCGAACTCAACATCCAACAACAGACAATGTGCAGATGAAACATTCAGCTTCAGAGTTGAATATTGAAGATAAACAGATGCAAGTTACAAAATCTGAATTGGATGTTGAAAACAACCTTGCAGACGTTGCAATGGAAATCTCTTTACCCAAAGCTTCGTCCAGAAAAAGGTGATTATGAAGTTCATTTGTGATTTTGAAATCAATGAAAATGATAACAAATTCTATAATTTCTAATTGTTGCAGTGACCCAATTGATGAACAACCTGGAAAACTTGAAATGGTATGCTCAAAGAAAAAACGTTTATGGAACTCTAAAACTCAAATGAAATCACAATTGACAGAGGCGAAGAAGACGGTCAATAAATATGAAGCTGAGAATAAGTTGATGCATGTAAGTACATATATTGTTTGGAAAAACCATAAAAAAATGAAGAGGAAATTATGGAGTGCAGGACAAAAATGATGAATTATAATCAAAATAAATGCATTTTTTTAATTTCTTCATAAAAATCTTTGGTGCATACATAATGTTACATCCATACTAATATTATAAATGTGAAATTGTGTTTGTTTGTCTTTATTTCATGTTGAAGCAGAGGGGGTTGTTGTGGGTTGTATTATAACGTTTTTCCATGGGAATGAGATAATCTCCAATTGACTTTCTAGCTCCAACTATCTCCACACAAAAAGTCACGCCTGTCACTCTGCTTCGACGTGAAAGAAAGAAAAACAAACACACGTTCACATTTATAACATTAGCATGGGTATAATATATCTATTTCATACTAACAGATAAAACGCACTCAGGGACGAACCCTAGCTAAGCGAGGGTGAGTCGCTATGTATTAAGTATATATAAGTAAGTATTGAATAAAAAAAACCAAGCCAGATTTGAACTCAAGGTCATCGGGTCCGTAGTCTAACAGTAACACGCTACCCCTGATCTACAACGTAGTTACAAGAAAATTTTCTTACGAGACAAGTATTGGCCGTACAGTCGCGTTGTCTCTTTCTAGAGAGTTATCAATTTTGTGCGGGAATTGCTCAGTCCATTCTCTATGTCTATGGTTTGTACACACAAAATAACTTATAATTACAATATAAATACTAGTTTCACTGAAGTTCTAATAATTATAGCCTGTCTTAAGTTTTGTTTTTTCAGGCGACGTGCATGGCTTAAAGCTGCTGGGCGGGAAGATCTCGTCGCTAAAATTGTCGATGACAGTGTAAGACAACAATACAGAATATGTGAAGATCATTTCGAAAAGACTTGCATTAAGTTCTCCAAAAAGAGAACTAGGAAATATTTATTAGATAGTGCATTTCCAACACTGAATTTGGAATTGTATAACCGTGCACGTTTTAGCCAATGCGAAACTGTTTCTACGGAAGAAAATCAGGAATTTCAAAATGTGTCTGTGATTGAAACATCTTCAAGTTCAAACGAGAATTTGATTAAAATAAATTATTTGCAAACTGTAATTTCTTGTAACATTGAAACAGATGCAAAAGACATTGATTGTGCTAGTGAAAGTAGATCAGTGCAAACCTCTCTTCAACTTGCAGCGATCAATCCAAGGAAGAGGAAACTACCAATTGAAGTAAGCGAAATACGTTTTAGGAAAACCAATGGCGTAGATAGGCCCTTCTACCCCTGTGGAGGAGGTCTGTCACTGGATTGGAGGTGACACCAGTAAAAAAATATATTTTTTACCTGTTTGAGGGATGATACTCGATTACACAAACAATTCGTTGGAGTTTACAAGAAGCATTTTTTTTGAAATGACGCCTTCGATTCTGGCTCGGGTCACCTTTGCTAGCTACTCTTTTTCAACCCTAATGTTGTTTGTAAATTATAATATGTATAGCCAGTAGATACTAAGATGGACAAACGTTTGCTCCGCGAATAGAGCAATATGCATATCAATTTTTGTGGTATAGTTTTGGAATATTTATCGGCTGAATATTATATCAATGCATAAATATACATAAAAAGTGCAATGTATGAGCGGAAAATTTAAATTGTGAAACGCGTTACATTGATTTAAACAAGACGTGACGTAAGATGCCATGTAAACATTGTATTGTTTACATTTACCTGATATATTTGTAGTGTTTAATAAAAATAGTTGTTTTTTTTTATATTGGCTTATAGTTGCGTTAACAGACGCAATCCATTCGTTGTTTTTGCACTCTTTTACTACAATGAAGCATATAAGACAATATAATACTATCAAAAATGACATGAGCATATGATGTGACTCTATTTTTAGCTCACGAATATGGCGGTGTATGAATAGCTTAATTTTTTTTTTAGTTTTAAAATATTTTTTTTAATTAGCCATTACCAAGTTTAAAAATCTATATGCTATGGACATGTAAAGATGAAGGATGAAAGGCATGTGACGAGAAGATGGAAACGAATGTAGATGGATGGAGAGGTAGAGGAAGTCCTAAGAAGAGGTGGTTAGATTGTGTAAAACAGAACATGAAAGAGAAAGGTGTGAATGGTGAAGTTACGAGTAAGAGGGGAGAGTGCAAGAGTAAGACGTACTGTGTCGAACCCAAGTAATTTGGGAAATGGGCAGGATCATGAATTCCAAGTTTAAACAACCGAATAACTACTTATACCCAACCCGAAACATGAATTGGTATTATATTGTAGTCAGCCCTTTTTGAAGTCCCACTGCTGGGCATGGGCCTCCCTTCAATATGAGGGGGATCAGGCCATAGTCCACCACGCTGGCCAAGTGCGGGTTGGCAGACTTCACATGTCTTTCGAAAACTTGCTAGGTTCTCTCAGACATGCAGGTTTCCTCACGGTGTTTTCCTTCACCGTAAGGCAAGTGGTAATCATGTTAGAAATGATTCGCACATGAAAATATCAGAGGTGCAAGACCCGGGATTTAAACCCGCTTCACTCGGTTTTCCAAGCGAGCGCGTTACCACTGGGCTACCACTGCCTAAGAACATGAATAGGTTATTAAAAATAGTATTTTATTTATTAATAATATTTTTTTTCAGGTTGTCTTTACTGCACGTGGCTTGTGCCCTCCGGTGTTTACTCCACTCAACGAAGACTATAGTGTTAACTATGAAGCTATTGCACCATACGCTAAGTTCTTAGCTGACAATGGAATAAAGTCTGTGTTAGGTAAAATCAAGATATATTTATGTATTATATTGATATTATTTAGTCTGACTAAAGAATTCTATGGATGGATTTCTTCAGATAGACTAAAATTCTAAATACAATAGACTCGGCCTCTGTATCGGTAATAATGACTATTTCAATAAGATTTTCCAAAAAAATTTAACATAGAGAATCATTAAAAAAAAATTGTTTAGCTTCATGTTTATTTCTATGAGACTGCCTATATTATGCCTTAATATAAGATTATTTATGTAAATTAAATATAATTTTTGATTAAATCCTTTATTTTAGTGGGTGGTACAACAGGAGAACACATGTCTTTGTCGGTGGCTGATAGAAAAAAAATTGTTGACGAATGGGTTAAAGAGGGCAAATCAATTGGATTACATATAATGGTTCAAGTAGGCGGGGCCCCACTCGCTGACGTTCTTGATTTAGTAAGTGCAGTTATTATTTTTACTTATAGTTTATTATTATCTATACAGATAAATAAAAATTTCCACGCGCGCCATTTCGCTCCTAGGCACGTGCCTACTTTGCCTTATGGATAATCCGCCAATGTTTGCAAGACTAGTAGTTTTATCAATAGACTTCAAAAACGAGGACCTGCTCAATTTTGTTGTACATACAGCGCTGGATATGCACTATTAATTAAAAAAATTGACAAGTACATTTTTTCAAAAAATTGAAAACATTTATAAATATTTTTTTTACATTTTTAGACAAATTAATAATTAAAAAAAATTAAACTCTATCGAAACTTTATTCATTTTATACAAAATTTTCCATAATAGGACGGCATTTTTTACACTGCCCAAGGGCGGCGCTGGGGTTGAATCCGGCACTGGTTGTATGTTTTTTTTTTAATATTAATTAATTTATTTTTCTAGGCAAGATACTGCTCAGAGGTCGGTGTTGATTCACTACTTACTCTACCGGAGCTATACTTCAAACCTCAGACAGCTTCAGAGCTGGTTTCATACGTTGAATTAATAGCAAATGTTGCACCAAATCTTCCTGTTCTATATTATCATATTCCTAGTATGAGTAAAGTTGAAAGTGAGTATGTTTGTCGGCCATTTTATATCCTTTAATGTTCTTTTTTACCCGACTGCGGTGAAGCCCAAAGGAGGGTAATGTTTTTGACCTGTATGTACGTCCTACCCTATACATATATACATATGTACGATATACATACATGTTTTATAATAGCTGCGTGTGTGTATGTCTTCAATGCATAATGCTATGTTCCTTCCTTGGTCTACTTGTTCTCATCTTTTTAGTTTGCCTTAACGCAGTCTATTTTTGTAAATAATTTTTAATGGTCTTTGTTTAGTTTATCGTATGTGATCTTTCAAGGTGGAATTTAAGTATTTTTTGGCTATCCCCAATACTTTTAACCTGAAAAAAACCGTCACAAATTAAAATATTGTCAAATCAATCTTGAAGTAAATATAATTTATTTCATTTTCAGTTAATATGCCGTCATTTGTAACGGAGGCCACAATTCGTATACCAAATTTTAAGGGAATTAAATTTACATCGAACGATCTGAGTGAAGGTGCGCAAGTTCTGAGGTGTTTAAAGGATGGCCAGGAAATGTTTCTTGGAGCTGATACTGTAAGTCATATTTTATTAAATTAAGATAAATTGTATGTACGTTTGTATGTATATGTGTATTATGTTTATCTACGTATATTGTACTAGCATTGCCCGCGGCTCCGCCCGCGTTCAGATGACCAAAAACTAAATTCTTAGGTTTTACATATTAGTATTATCTTACAATACAGTTTTGTATTTTATCTCAAAAATGAGATATTTTCCCGCGGTAAAAAGTTCCAGTGGTTTCCAGTGGTTTTCTCGTGATGCGGTAACAGACAGACAGACAGACAAAAATTCTAAAAATTATAGCTTCGGACTCTGTATCAATAATAATATCTATTTCAATTACATTTTCCAAAAAATATTTAATGTACAGAGTCGACTTAGTTACAATTTTATTATATGTACAGATTTATAATTATATCGTATAGCAAGTACACCGTCTACCATTTCTCTAACACTCTCCTTTACCTGGTAGTTGGTTGCTTGGAAGAGATCGCTTTAAGCGATGAGGCCGCCTACTGTGCATCTTTGTTTATTTTCAATTACTGTCTGTATATATTTTCTGTTTGGTGTACAATAAAGATTATTATTATTATTATAAATTGACTCATATTTGGGCTATTTGTAATATTATGTTCATTAATGTAACATTGATATTTAAAAGTGCAACTGTTGAGTTTCTCGCCGGCTCTTCTTAGCAGAATTGCTTTCCGAGCCGGTGGTAGCTTCCTCACAGACTGACTACACTGTCGCTCTTTATTTTTATTATTATTTGACAATTCAAAAGTATTTGTAATAAGTCTATTTGAATAAAGCTTATTTCATTTTACGTTTTGGTCCGCGATTCCGCTTGCGTATGTTATGTGTATTTTTCATTCTAGAATATAATCTACGGTTCCAGTTGATTCATTACGGTCCGTGAAGTAGTCCCAAATAATCATACCAAAATAATATCAATTAATAGATTTAGACAACACGTTTGATTCAGTTTATAGTGACCCTACTTGCTGTGCCAGCGGTCGCGGGTTCGAGTCCCGCTGGGGGCATTCATTTGCGATGAGCACGAATGTTTGTACTCCAGTCATGGGTGCTTAGTATGCATTTAAAATTTATATAGGTACGTGTAGTGTATCAATTATCTGGCATTCATACCACAAGTCTCGTAGCTTACCATGGAACTAGATGTTCTGCATGTTAATGTCTCAACATATTTATATTTATTTATATCTCGTCTTTTTGTTAAGGTCACATAGGACCAAGTATTGGACTAGCTGTAGACTAGTTGCTTTTTTTACCATAATGATGTTTCGGATGAGATTATCACATCATCACCATATAATGTTCAGAACTATACACATGGGTTATTTTTTTTTAAATATTTATTCTTATTATTTCACATTCTAGGTATCTACAGATCAGCTTCAAAAATGAAATTAAAATTTAATAATTTTATTTAACTAAAAATTACAATGTTTATCTACAGTTGCTAGCACCGGCTGCGTTATTAGGGATAAAATCCAGTATCGGAACAACATTTAATTTGTTCCCGCGCCTAGCTCAAGATATACTGGACGCTGTGGACAGAGCAGATATCGCTGAAGCCAGAGCATTGCAAGAAAAACTAAGTCTCGCGATAGAAGCCCATACTGTTGAAGGTAATTTAAAATTTTGTTTACCTAAAATGTCCTGTAACTAGGGCTCCTCAGGGCTCCCCATTTTTGGGGGAATTAATATCAAATTTTAAGTAATTCTGTTCATAAACAATTTTTGGGTTGTATTGTAACGTGTTTTCCGTTGGGAATGACATTATTTCCCGCGGTAAAAAGTATCCTATGTTACTCTCCAGCCCTCCAAATATCTCCATTCAAAAAATCACGCCAATCCGTCACTCCGTTTCGACGTGAAAGAAAGACAAACAAACACACTTTCACATTTATAGTATTAGTATGGAGATTACATAACATAATTTTTAATCAAAGTATATTTTTTCCTTTAGGTCCTTGGGTTCCTATAATGAAAGCTGGTATGGAAATAGTGACTGGAATACAAGTGGGTCCTCCCTCGTTACCTCAAAGACCCTTATCCAAAGAAGCTAAGAATAAAATAGCGTCTAGACTGAAAGCGTTGAAATTAATCGATTAAATATTAAAAAGATAATATATCATATTGAAGAGACAAATGTGTTTTATTTTTTAACTTAATTTGAAAAAAGTGGACGGAACATCTTGATTAGATTGTACTACATAAATAAAACTGTGTTTCCGGAATTTTGCGCGGACTTATTTTGATTTTTGGTTCCCGATGTGTCGTATGCTTTACAGCAATCATGGTCACACGAGAGATTGTATTGATTGATGTAAAGCATTCGAACCGTCAGAAATCAAAAATCGAAATAAATCCGCCAAAAAATTAATAGATCTAAAATGGTAAAAAAGTGAAAATTTGCTTCGATTAAATCTTTTTATTTTCATAATTTATTTAATTAAATTAAAAGCCTCATATACGCTCAACGTGTATATAATAATGTACTAGATTTACTAGAATAATATATAGGAACATGTTTCAAAAAAACTACATTATTTTAAAGTTTCAAATTAGTTAACATGGAAAAACTGTTTATAATCGTTTGCAAGCTATCCTTTCGTATGGGACATGGCGTGTAAGCATCACAATTGTAGCCGTTCAATCCCCGGACGGCCGCTTCCTTAAGAGCCGTAGTGTTCAGCATTGTCGATAGCAATTTATTACTGAAAGGAAATGATATAGCAAAATATTAAAAAAAAATATTTTTTGTGAAATTATAACTTATTTATTAAAAAAAGATTACTAAAATATTGAATACTTTCTTAGATTTGACTTGATAAAATATTAAAATTGGCAAAGATGTATTTGCAATAAAAAAATACAGTCGATTAACTAAATTCCTCCTCCTTTTTGAAGTCGGTTTAGAAAATTTAATTTTAAATTACATAATTATAACCGATGTTTTTATTCTCACTTCCAGTTACTTCATTTACAGTTTATTTCATTGTTCAACTTAAAAATTTATAAAGAAAATTACAAATTCAAAACCTTCAACTATTTCTTTGTATTTCAATAGATACATCAAAAATATAAGTAGCAAATTAAAAGAAATATATGTATATATAAGTTATATGTACCTCATCATTTGTTTCCAAGTGTACATAGATTCAGGGTTTTTGGTCCTCTGACTCATCCAGCATACGACCCTTTCCGGACATCCGCCGCTGTTAGCCGCCAAGTGTTCCGTTATGTTTGTTAAAACAAAACTATTCCAATCATTTGAATCGGAAACTAAAATGTTATAATACGAGGATAAAAATTTGTAATAAATTAAAAAAAATCTATACATATAATAAAATTTTCAGTCGAATCTGTACATTAAATATATTTTTTTGGAAAATCTTATTGAAATTGTCATTATTATCGATACGGTGGTCGAATCTATAGTTTTTAGAATTTTTGTCTGTCTGTCTGGGAACGCATCAGGAGAATGTCACTGGACAGATTATGAAATTTGGTATGATGATAGCTGATTATGCGGGTCAACTTATAGGATACTTTTTACTGCGGAAAAATGTCTCATCTCTGAGAAATCTATACTAAACGTTAAAACGTAACTAGGGACAAATCCGAGCGGAGCGAGGGTGAGTCGCTAGTATTTAATAAAAGTCACTATATAAAAAATAATATTTCATTAGTTTAGGCTTACTTTGAACAATCAATACTTTTCTATCTATCAAAGTGATGATGATGATGATTTACTGATAGCTTATTTGTGTAAAACAAGTAACAAAATGTTTAATTATTTAAAATTTCATTCAGCATACAATATTTGAGTAGGTAGGCATATATATTGTGGTAGGTATGTGGCTATATAGCCATTTTAGTATACAATTGCATAGAGAGATTTCACGATTTTTCCTTTATTATACAAAGAGGTATTTAATATGTCAAAACTTTTTGTAGGTAGGTAGGTAATTAAAAAAATAAATTTCGTTATTCTTTTTTTAAATGCAGTTGCATAATTGCAAAATGTCAGTTGTATAAAGAGCATCAAAAATATAACTTTCGGGTTACAAAATAAAATTTTCAGTGTCCATAGTAATGCTTATAATATAGGACAGGGTCGGAGTATCCACTGCCGTAAGTGTTTTTTATAAAGTATTTAATGTACATGTATGTATTTAAATATTTAGCTGATTTGTGAAAGATCACAGGTTCGATCCTTGCGAGGGATGAATTGCGTATTTATTTTAGAAATCATTGTTCAGGTCAGGTCAGAATAATCTCTAGTTAAAGATCACGCAGGCGTGAGCGGTGAGAGTTACCTAATTACTTTACCTTATTCTAAAATACTTTTGTTTATAGCTAATATAATAAACTACGAATAGAAACGATCCAATTTATTTATATTACAAAAGATAGGTATTTTAATCTATAAATTAAAATATATTCTATTACTAAATATATTTTCTCTTAAAACGTGATCTAAATAAATTAGAAGTGGCAAAAAGCTTTTATATATTCAATTCAATATCTGCGTGTTTTTCAAAAGAACATTGTTTCAAAAGTAAATGAGTAGAGAAGAATGATGAAGAAGAAGTGTTCTGATAAATACTATTGAACTTGGCAGGTCATGGAGCAAATGTACCTGGTAGAGATTTTCGTAGACAAAGTCACTATCTTCGCATCCGAAGAAGATGAAAAAAGCGGCGCTAATAAGAAACTGATTATCAAGATACGATTCGGACCTAAAGTTGAGTTTATAATAAAAGAGGGACAACTAGCACATAATAAAGACACAAAAGACGATATTATAGATTGTGACGAAAATGGAAGACGTAAATGGACGCGAACTATAAGAGTGGGAAAGTCATATTTATTTCCTTCATATCCGGATACTGTACTTATGATACTTAGTAAATTTCCCTTAGAAATAGAGATATGGAACGATGATGAAAAAGAGGTAGAGATATTTGTAGGAATTGGTACCATGCATTGGGAAACTCAGTTCTTCCATATGTTAAAAGAAACAGCTGAAGCTTGTAAGCTCCATGAGCCGCTATCGATAAAGCAGAATACCCCACTATTTGCAGAATGTTGCTGTAAACAAGTTGGTGAGATATCTTTCATTCTTAGATTAAGTGCATTGGGGGATAGTATCATAACAGAGTTTCAACAACTAATGAAAGATCCAGATACTTTTGTATTTCGAACCAATAAAGCGCCGAGCATGTTTCAGTGTAAGAGAGTTGAAGGTGATGATCCAAACTTTTGTATGGTGGGTAGTTTATATGAGACGACTACGTTGGAGGATCCTACTGTAATGAGTAACGCCCAACAAAAAATAGAAATATGCACAGAATTGCAAAGTTGTGGCGTAGGAAAAAGAGATGATGACTATAGTTGTCGGCATGGTGCTGCAGATTCTAGCGTGCCATCTAAGAAGATATATCCGATTAATAAAATAAGAATGGGCGACATAACAGGCCCATGTGGTAACACTAACTGCCCCTTGGCCCATAAAGTTAGAACATACATTAGAAATTTAGAAGCATATAAACGAGAAGCTGGAAGCAAAATAACGGAAACAAAAGATATCACTAAAAGAAAGATTTGTGGTACATGTGACTGTAAAGATGATCGTTGGCATCGTGAGGAATGTCCAGAAAAACTAGAAAAAGAAGGAAAACAAGGTAAGGTTGAATGTACAGGGTGTGGCGGTAAAGCAAAAGCAGGAGAAACTTGTGAAGATCGAAGAAAAAAAATGTTTGGCACAGGTGTAACACCGAAATCCAGTAAAACGACGGTTGCCTATGTCTTTAGTGTAACAAAAGTGCCTGGCTTTAAAGAATCTGTGTATAGAAATAAAATTGGCAGCGAAATGGTTATAACTAACTGTTATTCTCAAACGACCGGCAACAATGAGCCCTTAAATGTCAAGCGCGGTTGCTCTTGTTTTAAACCAGGATGTACATGGAACCAAGATGAAATAAGTTTAAACGTACCGCCAATCAAATTATCAGAGAAGCCAAAATTTCCCGAAAATAGAATACCTAACCAGGGTAACCAAGCTATAGTTTACAATGTTGAAGTTAATGATTCGAAACGCAAAATCCCTGTTTATAATTGCGTGGAAATATCTGAGAACAAGGACTGTGAGTGTAACCCACCAAAGCCTTCACCTCCATGTAAAACATTTGACTGTGAATGCTTAACTGAAATATCAAACAAAGCTGCAAGAAAAGCACATAAGCCTTTCTGCCCTTTATACAAACACAAAAACAACTGCCCAGTAACTATGATGCAGGAAGAAGAGGAGAAGGCGAAAGCTGAGGACTATGAAGATGAAGCTGAACCTTTACCTTATGGATTGCCACCTATTAAACTTGGACCCTGTCCTGTGTTAGGACGACCTTGTACTGTTCCTGATGGTTTTGCGAGAATGTACAAAAATGCGGCCTTGCCCGCACAACCACCAAGCTATAGCGATGCAGGCAAAGTTTGCTGTTCCAAAGAATACGAAAGAATAAAGAAGGCAATAAAAGAATATATGAAATATGAGAAGGATCATGATTTCAGATGTGTTAATAAGTTTAATGTGGACACTGAAAGAAGATGCTGCGATAAAGAGCAGAAATTACTCTCCCTTATGGGTAAAGGTTGTTGTGGCTCCCATAAAATAGCCATACAAGATAAATTTAAAGAAGAGAACAAAAGTGCTTAATTGTCATTGATATTTTATTTTGTAACCCACTAGTCTTCAAAGTAAGATCTAAATAAACTTATACAACTGATTGTTTTCTTATTTATTTTAGTTACTAAACCTCTAGTAATGTTTTTTTAAATTTACAATGTTCATGGATCAGTTGACGTATCTGATAATGAGTTTTTATTTATACTATTGAAAGGTTTCTTAGACAATAACCAATATGAACTAATATTTTATTTTGCATTTAAAATGCTAATACAGATTTTAAAATAAAAAAATGATGGCGGAAGATGAAGATAACGATAAGAAGAAGAAAAAGAAAAGTGCTTCTAAGTACAACTACAATTTTGGTGATATTTATCCAGGTAGGTTACGTATATGTATGTAAGAGGTACTTTATACAAATATAAGGAAATTAGAAAGAGGAGAATTAACAAACGGCCAAATATTTCAGGCATCGTGATAGGTCATAAAACATGCAACCCTTTCTTGAAGCCAGGTTACCCGGTACCAGGGGAAATGGGCTGGCTGTGGAATGCAACAGATATACCAGGATTAAAGGTTATACTTGACTGTTCCTGACAATTCTGTTATTTGTTAACTGTATTATAAACTAGCTTAATTTAAAACAATAGATAGCTTTTGTTTATAGATTGAAATTAAATATTTATTTCCTTGAATATATAGCCTCGTCGGGGTTGGCAGCCTGGTGCAATTGGCAAAAGTGTGGCGAAAATGATGGCGTTCAAATGCCCACGAGGTGGTCAAGACAAGGATAAAAGTAAAAAGAAAAAAAAGAAGGGTCGTACTGCAGGGGCAGATATGGGCGGAGGAGATTCTGAGCCAGAAGAACCATTAGAACCAAAACCCACTTTGAAAGTGCAAAGAAAAGGAGATGTTTTTACAATACAAGTCAGTGCGCTGAATAACAAAATTGCCATTATTCTCAATTTTCGTTGATCAAGCAAAATATTTTCCTATGCTATCTGTTTTATATAGATCGTCAAAGAAATCATGTTATTTATATGTATTTTACTATTTTGCAGGTGAATCCTTTAAAAGATTTAACAGAAATCGCTCCAAATGAAGACCCATACGTAGATTGTGATCCTCTAATATTCAAAATTATAAAAAAAAGAAGCCCAGAGGAACAAGCTAAAGTAGAGGCTAGGAAAATGGTTAAATTGAAAAAACAACGAGATGCTGAAATCAGGAAAGCTTTGGCCGAAGCTGTGGAAGATATTTGCAAATGCGCATACATGGACGTGTACTGTAACGATCTAACTGCTATAGATAAAGTGATTGACAGCTGTCCAGCATTTAAAGAGCCAGAATGTGTTTGTAAAGCGGAATCCCTAAGTTCACTTTCAAGTAATGCCACTTGGGATATAGAGTACACACCGCCTTTTGGCTGTTTCGATCTAGCGCCAAGAAAACGCAAGAATTTTATCCACGTAGAAACACAATATATCCCAGCTGATGCTGGAGTAGTTGAAGTGCCGAAGATTAAATGCAAAAGGTCGCGCACGTCGTTGAAACCCAAAAAGAGAGTTTCGAAGAAGATTTGTTGTGGTCCTACCTGTCCTTAACTTTTTTTGGTGACATTAAGTTATTATTGCGCAATTGTATAAGTATACAATGTTTTGAAAATTGTTTTTGTGACATCAATAAACTTTCTGAAAAATTACACTTCTTTCATATACCTTTTAGTAATGATTGATAGAGCAAGGACATTTTCTAGCTTAGCTTCTAGCGTAGTTACCTTTAATTTGTTTGGGTGCATCCCTAGGTGTTTAATGGTAGGCTACTGTTAAGCATGTGTTCTGTTCCGTTTCCGTCCGTCCGTTCAGCCGTTTCAGCGTAAGTACTTTATACACTTGCAAACAGACATACAAAATTTAGCAGGCAGTGGTAGCCCAGTGGTAACAAGCTTGCTTGGGTAACTGAGTGTAGCGGGTTCAAATCGCGGGTCTCGCACCTCTGATATTTTCTAATAACATGAATACCACTTTTCTTAAAGCGAAGGAAAAGATCGTGAGGAAACCTGTTTGTCTGAGAGAAACTTACAAGTTTGCGAAAGACATATGAAGTCCGCCAACCCGAACTTGGCCAGCGTGGTGGATTATGACCTGATCCCCCTCGTATTGAAGGGAAGCTCTTGCCCAGCAGTGGGACATTAAAAAAAGGGCTTAATACATACAATAGCCTAATAATAAGCTATGACTTACATCGAGAAAAGCGATTGTGATCGTGGAACTCGAAGACCTTATTGATGATGGGTCCCACAACACTTACAAAGAATATTATTACACTGCTTAACGCCAATGCCATTGGGTTTATATTGATCTTTGGTAGACCCTGAAAATTATGTAACAAAATTATTCTTTTATTTATTTGTGTTTTACTATAGTATGCTGTGTTTTTTATATGTGTCTTTTAATCTATTGCAGACTACAAGATATTTTCAATTTTTATATATCGCAAAACAAACGCATATATACTTTTAACTGGTTTCAAAAATAGGAGGCAACGAGAACACCGAAATAATATAATTTCATAAATTTGAATTAATTTCTTTTTGAAGTCGGTTTATTTTTTTTTTAATTTCTTTTACAATAGTTAAATGACAAGGTTAATAATAAAAATAATTATAAGCAGAGCAACTTACAAGTCCTGGAAAGCCATATTCAGAAGCAGAGTCGAATGTTTTCTTTATAGGTATTTTAATAAATGGTAATGAGAAATCCAGGCCGACCTAAAATGTATACGTTAGAATACCTTAGATAGTATTTAAGATCTTAGATAATATTTAAGCTAGATACACATAATAACATATCATCTCAAAAATAGGTTTTACTAAATTACATCATTACATGAGTTATTGAAAAAATATCTTAATAGTATTTATTACGATATTTTTTTAATAATAAAGATATATTAATAGAAAAAAATCATATAATTAATAATAAAAACAAAAAAGAAACTTTTTTATAAAAAAAATAGTTCATTAGATTCACTGTTTTGTTCAGTCATTTTAATTTAGAAAAAATGAGCCTAAAATAAACTTACGTTAATATCATCTGCCTCTGGAATGAACGTGAACGTTCTAGCTCGACGTGAACCGTTCATATCTTGACAAAACACACAAGTTAATACAATAAATAACACTTTTGCCGAACGTGAGAACATATTGCCAATAAAACTTTAAAATTATATTAGTTATGCATATTTTTATACGCTTTTATATTTCGAAATATGTGTGTGAATTTTCAACTATATTTTCCTATGTTTATTCCTTCGAAACGTCTACAAGTTTGGCTGTTGGTAGGATTTTACGCTGCATTTACAGACTCAGTGTAGGAAATAGTACTGAACAAGTTTCCGCGTATTGTTACAAAAAATATAACAGCTTAGAGCCTCGAGTATATTTGCCAAAGAACAATGAACAAATAGATATGGCAAAAATGAATTCTTGAAAATAGCCCCAAGTGCGCTTCTCAATTCATATATGAATGAACATAAAAAATATGTTTGTGTATACATTTTAAACCTATCTGTTCTTATTAGTATAATATATTATGTTACCAGTTTTCACAATACTGTGTGGAGTGTAGAGGTAAGGAGAACCATCTTATATGGGAGACAAGATGATAAAGTGCCCACCTGTAAGCGGTAAATTTAACAGTTCAAAACCTTCAAGAATGGCTCTAGCGTAGATCCAGGGTATGTAATGAATTTAGTTGAAGACGGAGTGAAGTGCGCTGAGTTGAAAAATAGTGTTTTTGGGTGACTAGAATACTTAATAATACTGCAGTATGCAAAACCCTATCTATTTACTTAGTCCAAAATAAGTTACTAAATATAATCTATTAAACAGCTGTAAGATAATGTAATCCTACTCCTAATAACATGTAATATTGGCTCTCATTTTAAGATTTATAGAAACACCCTCCCCCCAATTTAACGCGTTCCGACGGATACTTTTTTATCACAGAGATAGTTCTCCTTACCTCTACCCTTCATACTATACTGAAAAGAAACATTTATATATATATAAAAAAAAGAAAAGAAACATATACATAAAATGTTTGTCTACAGAAACTATACTCTTTGCTTGTTAAACGTTTATTTGTAATATTATTTATACGGGATGTGATCCACGTAATAACTTATTTAAGACGGGCCAATTTTGGGGGGCATGTTGTCATCACAGAAAGGGGCTGTGCGCTTTAACCGAAACGGCATTTAGTTAGAAAGCTATTGTTTTCGAAATTGTTATAATATTTAAATGTCGTGTCCACAATTAATTCCTCATTTTGAAATATAACAATAAAATCGCCGCTGTATCATGTATTTATGTTTTTAACCCATTTTGCGGCTTTGTAACAGATTATGTAAAACCAAACAGTTGAGTATAGTTTAAATTTAAGAAGTTCCAAACGTTTTTTAAATAAGATTTAAAATATATCACAAAAAGAGAGAGAGTCTTTGAATCTATAATGCCTAGAGTAGGTAAAGTTTAAAATAATTGCCTCGTTGGTTTAGTTGCAGGCATTTATGGCAACAGATCCAGAGGTCCTAGGTTCGAATCTATTTGGGCCCATAACTATTATTCAATACATTACATCCCTGTGCCTCGGAGAACTTTCAAATTATCGTCACTACGGAGTTTGAGTGAAAGGAATAGATACTGCATTTGTGTTTGCGCACGTACTGCATGCATGTATTATCATATCTCTGCTCTGCATTAGTAGGACATTAATTAAGTACAGATTGTTATTATTTTTTAGAGTCCTCATACACCTTCTTTTATGTTTTTCATTTAGATAATAAGTTAGTAGATATTTGTTTACATTTTCAATATCTTTATTCATTATCACTAATCAAATAACATATCAAATATGTCAAAAACGTGAAATCCGTCAACTCGCACTTTGCCGTGATGGGCTATGGCAGGGATGGCCAACCGGTCGATCGCGATCGACCGGTCGATCGCGGCTATTAGTCCAGTCGATCGCGGCAAGGCAAAAAATATAAATATTAAATACATATAACAGACTGCTCAACGTATTCACCAAATGCAGCGCGTACCAACTGGTGTGATTTTTAAATGCCGACCCATCACGTTATTTATTCTTTCTTCCACACAGCAGCTTTTGTTTTTAAAATGTTAAGAAATATTTGTATAAATATTGTATAGTAGATCGCACTGAGATTCGTAAGTAAAAAGTCGATCTTGGGTCTAATCAAGTTGGCCACCCCTGGGCTATGGCGTCAACCCCCCATCGCATTGAAGGGAGACCCGAACCCAGAAGAGGGACGATAGAATGGGCTGAATACATACATATTTATGTACAATAAAAACAAACATTTTAAAATGTTTTTGATAAACAATGTTTTGTGACACATTCTGCATTGCCTTAAGGCAGGCAACTTTTCTTTATTACATATAGCATATCGCTAAGTAATATTACCATGCTGTTGAACATAGAGGCCTTTTTTTTTTTTTTAACGTTGGGAAATGCTTTTACGCACGACGTGTGGGACTCACCGGCGTAATACAGCCAGTACTACCCACTAAAACCCAACAAAACCTTCCCCCGTCTTAATGGGGCGTCGCAGGATCGCTTACGCATTCAACTACGACGCCCCGACGGCAGGTCTGCCGAAGCAGACCACCACAACCATGGGGTTGCTCCACAGTCCACTCTGCTATCAAAGAAGTACCAGGAGCAACCCGCATGGTACACCACCTCCCGAAGAGGGCCACCTCCCACCGCCCACCGAAGTGGGCAACCTCCCTGTGCGTTTCTTAGCTTCGCGCCCGGTTGGATTGCCGGGCACTACTGAGCCCCCCCACCTCGACAAGGTGAACGCACGTTGGGGGGGTGAACATAGAGGCCTACACCGAGTTGAGAAATTATTGTTTGTTTTGTAAGCAACTAAATAAGAATTAAACTTTTATGTTTTGACGACTGTCATGACCAATGTACAATACGTGTTACCAAGTATGGTGGAGGTCACGGGTTTGAATCATGGACCATATCTTTGTAAACAAAGCTCATAACAAAGCTTAAATCCGCTTTAAGTAAACAAAAGCACAATATAATAATTACTTCTTAACTAATAAAAATGTCACCGACTTTAATTTTTGTTCTAGTAATTATTTTACCTGCAGTATTTTTTTTTAAATTATTGGAGACCACCCTTGAGGCATAATTTATTCATTAAAAAAGAATAATAAAAATCTATTTACAATCACGAAATGCTATTAAGTCTTTACATACTTAGAAAATATAAGTAAAAGTTAAGTTTCTTTAAAGTCTTTTTTAAATCTATTCGTCTGTATGTTCACCGATTTCTCGAAGGCTTTTGTTAGTTCTAAATTGTATTCTATTAAGGTAAATCACAAGGTGGTCCCATAAAATTTTCTTAGACATTGAGTATACCGTTTTCGAGAAAATCAGAAAAAAATGTATCATGTTTCTTTTATACCTACTTTGCAAGTCATTGTATTTTTTCTTCGTTTCTCAAAAATGTTTGTTCGACACGATGTTGATGGTTACTTTTTACCAGCTATACATTCCAGTTTTTTGAACTTGAATCTCGCAGCTTTATTAACCTAGAATCTAGAATAACCTAGGTGAAGGCTCTCGAATATATTCCGTAGAAAGATTGTGTAAATTTCTGTTATTCCATTTCGAACACTTTGAGCTATCTTATCATAGCTTGTTGTAATTGTTTGAAAACGATCATTTCCTTTTGCACCTATCGGCCTAATGCGATTGTGAGTTTGGCTATCATAATTTATCTAATTAAACGAAAAGTAGGGGAGAGCGGGGCTGGAAGTTACCGGGGTAAGTCGTTCCGACGGTAATAACTTTGTAAGGGAAAGACATAGCAATAGATGTGAAGTGCGCCGTTACAACATCAGGTAACGCGCTGCGCCGTCAGCCATTTTAGTTACTCCAGCGACGAAGGTTGAGTGGTTGTGTGCACGTAGCTGTCAAAACGTCACGTAAGTAAATTTTTTCGTGCTTAAACTATTTGGTCTATCTATGTTTACGCCAGACAAAATGCGTTAGTCGAAGAACAGAAAAAGAAGAAGACAAAAAAGAATGAAGACATTGCAAAGAAAAGATAAGGAAAAAAAACAAACAAAATAGTAAAGGAAAATATAAAACCAACGGGAAAGGGAAGGGAAAATCTCAAGGAAAAGCTAAACGAAGAGTGTTACAAGAAAACGAGACTGACATGTTAGCACGATCTAGAATGGTACGGTATAATTTGTTGTGATGCATATATTCAAATTTTCGTCCAAGAGAACAATGGATAGAATGTATCATGTGTAAAAATTGGGCTCGTATCAAATGTTTAGAGACGTACTTATGTGTGTCCCAACTGTGAGTCAGATAAAGAAATTAGTGTCGAATAAGATACGTGATGAATGAGAATGGAGATTGCCAAATTTAATTACACCTGATTAATGTAAGACTGATATAATGAATAATTTAAACAAATAAAAATAAGTTAATTTGGAGATTATGTTTTGTTGTTTCTTGAAGTCAAGTTATGCATCTGATAAGATTTATAAGTTGATAGATCTCCATTATATGTTAACTAAGTAAAGAAACGTTTATCTGGAGCTCACCATTTAGGATTTGTTGTTTTTTAAAGTTACAAAAAGTTTATCTGGACCAGTAATATTTTGTACCAGTAATAGTTTGTTGTTTTTTTAAGTTTATTTTTGCTTAACTTAAACATTACATCATAAATATATAGAAATGGTTGTTTTATTTTATAAAACTTATGTTATTCGGATAGATTATTGTTATAATCTAAGTGGAACAATTTGCCCCAACGATGGAACAACTCGCCCCAAAGCGGGGCTGAATGTTCCGCTCCGAAATTTGACAAAAAATTGCTTCTGTAAAAAAAACTATTGAGATACTAGTATAAATGACTATAATATTACAAAAACCAATAAACATCCATTCAATATTTGCACATGTTAAAAATGAAACCCTTCATTTTTATAATAAAATTTCATGTTATTTAAAAATCGGAACTTCCAACCCCGCTCTCCCCTATAGGGCAAAACTTACTAATTACGAGATATTACAAAACCAAAATATGTAGGTAATAACAAAAATTTATAGTAAGACTATATGATCTGTGGTAAAAGTAACAATTTTCGTATAAGGAAAAGTGCTACAATAATAAACACAGTTTAAATACTCAATCTGGTTGATTGGATGAAAAATTCTTAGCATAAGCTCCTAAAGACTTAAAACATTTTTTGGAAACTGTGCAGGTGAAAGAATATATCGGCTTCCTATTTTGAGCCACAGCCGGTGGGGGGAACCACCCTGGTGATTTGGCTTCAAAAACATGTAACTACAAATAAGCCCACTGTACGGTGTACATACTTTTTTAACTGCCTCGGTGGTCTAGTGGCTAGGATGTACGGCTGCAACTCTGGAGGTCCTGAGTTCGAGTCCCGGGGTCGGGTCACGCTTAATTACAGTGTTTTTCTGTTTTTTGTAAGATATTCTATGACTATTGACAAAAAATAGTATGTTTCTTTCACTGAATAAGCGTAGACCATGTCAACAATTGTATCGTCAATAAAAATATTGACTTTGCAAAATAACTGAAAATGAAACATTTGTCGCAGAGATTAGAATGATTCACCGAACAGCGAAAGAATTGATCAGCTATCTGCAATCTCAGCGTGTAGATTGCCATAAACAGCCACATAGGAACATAAATCCTGTCAAAGAACTCATCGAAAACTTATTTGTTACATCCTATTGATTTTCCCCTACTTTTTCATGAATAATATGTCATTAAGCCCTACTAAAATTTCTTCCTTACGCGATAACATCTTAAAGCGTGACGTCTAGTAAAAGTGATCTTGTGTAATACATTCGTATGACAATGGTATTTCCCCATACGATTGTTCAGACGCAAGCTTTGGAACCATTTGTATAAAGTATTCAAGCGGACGCGGAATCCAACAGTGATATTCGAGGACCTGAGAAGATGGGTTTAAAGATAATTGCACTGTGCTTGATCATCGCGTGTGCAGCAGTCAGCGGTAATTACAGGAACGATGGGTGTGTTTGTTGTCTTGTTTGTTTTATGTTTATTCTATTGTTAGTTCTTTAAATGTTTAGATTGTTTTAGTACTAAATGTATAGTAATTTATAGGGTTGCTGTTTTTGTAACTTAACTATAAAATTTCACTTTTTTTAGTTAAATCTATACAAGATAAGAGTTTTGTTTCTCTCTTTTGTATATGTTTACAATTTCGGTATATGGTCTTAATTTTTCTCCTCAAAAACGGCTTGACAGATTTTGATAAGATACTGTGTGTAGTTATGGGAACCTGGTTCTTAGTAGTATGTGACCTTAATTGAGATCAGATTCTTATTCCAAAATCACAAATTAAGTATTTTTACTTATGATTAAGTAAAACTGATTGTATGTTTTTGAATTCAATAAAGATTTATGCCCAGTACCGGCTACCAACGCACAGAGGACCAGCTAGCAGAGCCTTCGTCGCGCGTCGAGAAAGAACGCGATGAAAGAGACAATTCTGACCGGACGCAACGATTTGGAATAACCGGATATGGCAGCACTGTAAGCTATTTTACTTTTTCTTTATTATTACCGTTAACCCTAGGCTTTTTCCATGCAAAGTTTCCGTGAAAATGGATCCATCGTGACGCCGTGTGAAAGCGCTTATATTCATATCTATGTTATTGGACCATCACGGAAAAGACTGTATCGAGGTAGCAAAATAACGAGAACTTAATCTTATCTAAAATAGCAAGAACAACTATTTTTATTGATTGGTTTACGATAAAGATTTATCTTATATTTTATTTAGATATAGCTTTATATAGTCAATTTTAAGATTACAATTATATAAACCTATAAACAATATATTTAATACTAATCGGTACATGTGTGTTTTAACCGAAACGATCGAAATCTTCTTTATTAGATTAACCTTGTAATATCTATTCACTATTGTTAACGTAAATCCTTAATATATAAAAGTTCTTTTTTTAGGGTCCTTACGGATCAGCTCCCGGAATATACGGACCACTCAAGATAGATCTGGGTGGAGTACTCCTCGGTTCCATTCTAGGGTTTGGAGCTATTATCATTCTGCCCAAGATCATAAATGCATTTAGTTACGGTTATGGAGGTTATGGAAGAAGTAAGTTTTGGGTGTCAAAGCAGTTTTTATACTTGTCAAACTAAATTTGTTTTTTATTTATGAGCCATACAATAAGTTGTGTAATAGACAGTTTTATTTTCATCATTAAAGTTATTTCATTCGGGTAGATGAAAATGTTTTTTTTTTCGAATTCGAGTTACGCTTGCAGTCAAATAGTTCTCTTAACAGTGATCGTTCCCACTTTAAAGTTTATAATGTACTCGTATGTGCCTAATGTGAGAGGACTATCGAATTCCATGTGTACTGAAAGTTAATATAACTTTACACCAAACGAGAATCGAACAGAATGTCAGTTCAGTCAAAATATTTCAAACATACAAACAACACCAGTAAATAACTGGTTGGTATTTTAAAACTGGGATCTTTATTTAAATTGAATATTACAAGAAATTCGAATGACAATTAAATTTTACTTTGTGTTTTTCTAAAACAAAAGGTGTAGAATCAGACCTTGGTCAGGTGTCGGACATGATCAGCGAATTCGACCAGATGTTATCGAGGTACAATATAGACGGAGGGTCGTGTGTTCGACGCCTGGCTTGCGCATACGTACAGATCGCGAGTGAAAACACGCAGTCTGGTAACGCTACGGACTTCGATTTGTTACTTAATAATGTATCAAGGTTTGTCTTATCATTATCTATACTTACTTTACTATAAAATGGTAGAGATTTTTTCTTTACAATTATATTAGAAATAAGTTTTATTATCGATATAGACCACAAAACAGCATTATTGTAATAAAATATCCATGTCGTTTGTGTTTAACACAAATCTACTAGACGAATTTTATTTATTATCTACATAATAAAAATCTTCTTTTATTTAGTTACAGTCTTGAAGCGCGAAATTTTGGTAAAGAAATATTTATACCTATAACGAAGTCCCGGTTTTATACGGCTCTAGATCTCAGTATTTTTCTTAAAAATTAGATTTATGATTTTAACATCTTATTCCTTTACAGTAATTCGTTAGTCCATCGAATGCTTGACGGTACATCTATATACGAGGCCATGTCAGCTGGTCGGTCTTTAGACACCGACTGCCAACATCTCTACCCCAAGTGTAAACTGGACAAGAAAACTGTTGTGAAGATGATCACACAACTTGTACCTTCCTAATATTTAATAAAAAGTTAGTTATTCTATGCATTGGAGGTGAGCTGTTTCCCTATCAGCAACTGACAGAACTTTTGACCCATGAAGACACTATATAGTGTAAGTAATGTTTGTAAAAGTATAAAACAAAGTATCCACGAAGATAAAGTAGTTAGAACTGTTACAGTTAGTAATACCGTAAGAAGCTCTCGTTAGTTCTGAAAACAGCCACTAGGGAAATCTAACCACTGCCAATTATTGTTGTTCTAAAACTAAGTAGGTTTTTCAAACATTCGCGAACCGAATATTGCATTTGCATGTTAGTTGCGCATTTTTACTGCTCTTTTGCAGTATTTCAATTCAGCAATTATATTACGTGTACTTGTAATTCGTATTAAATTCTTCTCTTCTATTACTTACTATGGACACTTCGCTTTTTAATTACATATATGATAGACTCAGGAGTTTAATCGAGTTTCAAGTGAAACAAAAATAAATCTACATGAATTTTGGCTGAAATTGAACTTTTGCTCATTTTTTTCGATCAGAATTAAAAAAATATATTTTATTATGATTATTCTTGTTATTATGTACTATATATGCACAGTTAAAATTTAGTATTCTAGCGGCTTAGTTTGGGGTCTGGAAATTGGTAAATCTGTCTGATGCAAATTTATTCAAAAATGTCACAGTACCTAATGTCTACTTTAGGTTTTTTCTTCTATTTTTTAATCTATGTTCACTGTTACTTATGTTTAAATCGTTAATTTTGTTACCGCACGTTTTGTAAATCGTTCAAATAAAACATTGATGTAATAAGATTGTATACTTTTATTTCCTTTCAAATTAATAATAAACTATAAATAAATTATAAAATGGTATACATGTCCGAACTTAGATAACAACAAAATAATTTGACGAACCACCTGAGAAAATATTCACTTTTTTATGAGACATTACATTTAAAAAGATCATGCATGTATCATGCTTGATTTTTTTAAATTTTAATTCATTGTTTACATTATAAAAAGTATAAATATTGGAAATATTTAAAACAGACACTTTTGAACGTTTAAAACACTGTAATGTTCCCGCGCTTAATGACGTCATATGTCACGCTCATGTCATCGTTTTTGATGATCCTTAAATTGCTTATATATTGACAAAAATGCTAAAATCTCATTCATTAATCAAAGGCTGCAGTAAAAACTATTTTGTCAATAATATTGATAGGTATTCAAAAAAAAAACTTTCCCGCCATGACATCTGACGTCACATCATAAAATCATAACCTAGCATAGGAAAATAGGTAAGAAAAAAAACATAAAACACAGTGTAAAAATTTAACAATTTTATTTTTCATATCAACACCGAACCCCTATCTACGTCTGATATGCTCAGCAACTCAATACTCAATTATTGGCGTTCACCTTACAACCTGAACTTTCCATACATTGAATCCCAATATTAAAACTAACGTGTGTCGAAATCGGATTGGAATTGCTTTCACATAAATCATCTAATATTCTAAAATACATAACCGAACTTCTAGATACTTCTATCAATGTTTTTGGTGTTCAGTTTACCTACATTTTAGTCTCCTTTAATTTCCATTTTCTTTCAATGAATGCTATTACAATCCAAGACACACGAATCTTTCCACACTATTCACCGATACATATTGCTAGCGCAAATGCTTTTGAGCATTATTTTGGCAACTTCATTTTGGTGCTTATATCGGCTAAGAAATGCATTTTATTGCAATAGTGTAGTACAATAAACACCAAAACAAAGTGATGTGTCGAGTATTAAAAGATATTTAAGCCGTGACGTTATTCCTACGTGCTCTAATCGACAGTGAAATTAAAAAAAAAAACACCGTCAATCAAGCAGTCAATTCAGGCCGTCAACGCAAATGTCCTACTTAAATGTTTTCAAAGGGATGTTTAAATGAACTATATATTACTTAAATTAATTTTTGGATTGTAACTTATTTTATATAACAAATGTACGTGTGATTTACAATGTTATTTTAGAGTTAGGTCGTTTTAACGCTGACAGCCCTTTAATCAGTGCATTCCATAAGCTCCTTACGTCTAACCTATTGTGTATACATGATACATCCTTAATTCATAAAACTAAGTTCACGAATCTTGGTCTAAATTCGTATATTATTGCATTACCTCTATATTTTAAGTTATACTTCTTTTGAGACGTTTGGAAAAATACGAGTAAAACTTTTACGATGCGCGCGCACACCGACAAGCTACAGTTAGATGATAACTGTTTGTTGCCATGGTAACCGTTGTTGTCTGACAAATGATATATAATATTCTTTCCATTGATATTCTATAAATATATGTAACATGCCTAATATGCCTTATTTAATTATTGATTAGTTTTAAATTTATTGCGATATTTGCCAAATAAGTTTTACTTCAACCGCGCGTAAAGGTTACACGCACCCATTTTTGTTCAGTTACGCCAAAGAAGTATAACTTCTTACGTGCGTACATAAGTATACACAGACACGTTTTTTTAATATTATACGTACGGAAAACAATCCGTTGTCTAAACATACGATTGTTTTGAGCACTCTATTGCTACAATAATATATTAAATTGTATTTTTTTCACGTATCTAAGGTAAATTAAAAAATATATGACGCTATCTGTTGCTTTGTTGATTGACAGATTGAAATATTACCCTTTTTACATTTTTTTAGATGTGTGTGACCTTAGATATTTACTGAACTAATTTACGTAATATATAATTCTATACATATAAATATAAACTGTATGTTTATGACAATTAATTCAAAATGCTTGAAAGCGTATTTTCTATATGCTTAGAAAAAAAAGTTATATTTTAATTTATACTTGTCCGTCCGAACGTATCTTACAAATTGACGAAAATTAATATTTTCTTAATTGTGACGGTATAAGATAAGAATAATCATAGATAAGTTTTTTAAAATTAATCAGATAACAGATTATAAATAAATAATAATTACATAGTTTCACTGGTGAAGTTTTATTCTTTACAGTAAATGCATAAGTCTTTATATAAAATACATTTTATTACATATAACTACAGCTACGTACGATACGATATAATGTGATGATTGAAGTGATCATTCAAACTTTTATTTAATATAATAAAATAATAACGTTTAAAAATGGTACTTCGAATTATTTAAGAACCAAGCAACACATTTGACTAAAAAATCAAATAATTAAAAAAAAATTAACAAAAATATACATTTATTTGAAAATTCATCAACAATGTAAATTAAATGGCAACAATTTAAAGTATACAGTAGAGATAAATGCAAGATGAAAAAAGACCAGGAAAGAATATTTAACAAAGGGTATCATTTGAAAATTGGGAATTATAATATATTTTGGCTGACTTTTATATATAACGATATATAAGAAACGTCAATAGCAGTATAGACTTGGATATGTGACGGTTTTATGTCAAATAAAAAAAAGTAATATTACAATATGAGATGGAAAAGCAATTTAAAAGGACAAACTGATTATAATGCGAAAAAGGGATTTTTGACTATAATTAACTAAAATGAAAATGATATTACAACGTATTCTTTACAAAATTGTTTATTACTTTTTAAAATGGCGTGAACATGTATTTTGCTTTAATTTCCAAGGAGTTTATATAAGCTCTATTTTAAGGTAATTGCTATTTAATTAAATATTTGTTGCTAATCAATATTAGTTAAGAATAAATTGGTGTGAAAGGTAACAAACTAAAAGGCATGAAATTCATCCATACATATTTTGACAATTAGTGACAGCCTCTCGGTACAACAAAAAACTAAGAAAGTAAAAAAAAACTAAGTGAAAAACCAAAAAAATATCGAAATTTTGGCGAGTTTTCTTTATAACAATAAATCACTTTTAAACATACGCCATATAAGTTGATTTAAGATTTTTTAATTCGTCATGACATCTAAAACAACCACACTGTTGACGTGTAAAATAATGATTACAGTATCGAAATATTATACACTACTCTAGCTTATTAAAATAGAGGTTTAAATAAAGTTTTTTTTTAAAGAAAAAAACCGTTCATAAGAAGATATTGTCAAAAATATATATTGACTTAGTTCTTATTTATATACGATATTAAAAATTACGAAATAGCTTTTATACAAGCGAATGTGGTTTTTAATAATTCGCGCAGATTAAAAATAGACGCAATGTTTAAAATGGTAATGTCTTTGGATAACATTTAATTGTAAATGTTGATTTCTTATTTCATTGGAGCAAATGTTCTACTTTGTTAGAGACTGTCGATGTAGCATCCGTATGTAACATTTTATTTGTATCTACGCGAATTATTACATTTGCGATTAAATGTTTAATGACATTATGACTTCGTGTCGCATTACACCATCCAAAACTAATAATTTTGGATGGTTTTATGCATAAGGCATTTTAGCGGCATTTAATGTCGCCAGATACACTGAAGGCTTGAAATCACATATATTTATTTTAGGTTCTAACTTCATCTAAGTACTAGATTTTCACAAACCATTTTTATATTTAAAATATTAAAAAGAAAAACGTCGCAAGTCCAAAATATTACCATTATAAATAAAAGCCATTATAAATATTAATTGATGTAACTTAAAGATGTTGCTTCTAATGAAAATTATTTTTTCGAGTTATGCCATTTTTCTTTTTAACATACCGTGTACTTAAATTATAAAGCGTTGGAGGGGTCTACATTGGATCGATCAAAGTTTCATATAATGAACACTTTGAACCTCTGCATTATAATCATATACTACTACAGGAGTAAAGTCCATGATCTTTGATACATTCTATACACGAATATATCTTCTAGACACTTCGAATCACACGCGAAAAGTGGAAAATCTATACGCTCAGCTTAAATTATGGATTTAGGTCACTATCACGTTTCAAAACTGACAGTGACATTGACATTTTCATTTGACATTTGACAGAACGTCAATCAAATTAAGATGTGCCAGATTAGCACAATTTATTTCGCCAGTGCCACATAAAAAAACAATACAAAGGATATAAGACACTCATATTTTTGACAATGACAGTGACATTGACAGGTTGGTTTGACGTAATGATATACCGTATTTATGATGTTATGTGTTTATTTAAAATATATTTGTTTTGCCAGAACGGGTATTCAGTCGGTGTAAATGTAGTCGAAGGCCCCGAACCCTGGCAATTGTGGCCCTAATCATTGACACATCATACTAACTAGGGAATGCGCGTAGGCCATTGGTTTCACGTCGGGATGCGGCTGGAATATAATATTGAATTTATACAATATACATATTTTTTAACTAATTCGTTATTGCAATGATACTCAAGTATAATCTCCACCTCTAAGAATGGAATAATTAATTTGAAGGGATTTTACTAATGACATACGTTTTTTTATGAGTTTCACTCTGAGTTTTTTCGGAAAAGATGTAAATGTTTTTTCCGAAAAGACACCTATATAGATAAACTTAAAAAGCCAAACGTTATCTAAATAAAAAATTAGATTTCTAAATCGTCAGAACCTTTTCCGAGATACACGAAACAAATGTATATACATATATACAAGAATGGCTATTTAATATTATAAGATGTAACTCACCACAGCTTCATAAGTAGTGAAGTTAGGTTTAAGCTCCTTGCCGTTCATTGTGATGTAAGCGCCGAGATTGCCCATTGTGTCACTGAAAGAATATTTATATGTGGCTATAATACTTATCCTACTAAATAATAATATTAAAAAAGCAAAGGTTCGTAAGTATGTATATTTATTACTTTTATTACGCAAATTTACTGAACGAATTTTGATGAAACTTTATAGTAATATAGCTTATACATCAGAGTAATATATAGACTATATTTTTATAGATATATTGTTAGTTATACAATGTACATGTACTAGTAGTGTTCAGCCCATTTTAACGTCCCACTGCTGGGCACGGATCGATACGAGGGAACCATCTCCCAGTTTTCGTATCAGTATCATTCTAAAACTGGCTAGGTTCTCTCAGACATACAGGTTTGCTCACGATGTTTTCCTTCACCGTAAGGCAAGTGGTAATCATGTTGGAAATGATTTGCATATGAAAATATCATTGTGTGACTCGGGATTTGAACCCACTTCACTTGGTTTCCCAAGCGTGGGCGTTATAACTGGGCTACCCCGGTCTTAGTTTCAGATAATATGTATTTATATACACAAAGTATTATAAAACTGAAGATTTTTTGTTTGCACTAACTCTTTTTATCTTTATAGCCTACTAACGCTTCCTTGCGACTTTACTCGCTCAGCTTATTCATGCATAACTACTCCACCCCTAAGGTTTACATCATACCCTCTCTTTCATCCCCAGAGGATGTGCTGCCTAAAACTAACAATTAAAATAGCCTTCAGAAAGGCTCTATGAAATTGAAATTGTAAAGAAGTATATATAAACCACTCGAGCGAGATACATTAATAGAAACATCACCATCACATTATACAAAAAAAGAAAAATCAACATAAACCAAAAAAATCCACCATAACTCACCAGTAATTGGGAGCGGAGAACACTGTAATACATTTCCCATCATGGGCGATTTCATAGCCATCGTTTTTCACTTCATGGCTTCGTATTATGTAGTCCAACTTGTTCTTCTGAAGGAAGTTGGCAGTGACGTCTGGTCCGAACTGACAGCCCACGCCTCTTTTGGATTGCGACCGCCCTGCCATTGGTTGAGGATCCGACCAAAGCAGCTCGCACATTATACCTGGAAATAATATATTAATGGTAAAATCATGGGGTCTCATCAGATAGAAAAAAATAGTTGAAATATATCAATAGATGGAGTTAGGGGGCATCCGTTAACTACGCGATCTGTTTTCTTTCAATTTAGACTCCTCAACCCTCTCTCTTTTCCCGTTTGATGAGATTAAGTGAGATTTGGTGGGACCTTCCCATTCCTCTTACGTGAGACTTATGCTAGAGTTGTTAAATGACGACATTAACTTTTATCATAATTCATAAAGTATAATAATACAGCATTCAGGTACTTTTTCAGCGGGCAAAATAGGACACTTCAAAAGAAATGATTTTTTTTTATTATCTGTGTAATATATATTTTCTTTTAAGGTGACATGAGATTTTAATTTGTTCCGCCCTCAGTCTAAATGAGATTTGATGAGATTTTACAGGACTCTCCCTCCCCCATTTTGAGCTCACATAATGAATTATATGTACCGATCCACTGTTAAAGTTTATGTAAAATTTAAGTTACAAGCAAATAACAAATATCAAAAGTGTATATTATGGTTTTAAAAGGTATTAAGGAAATAATGTGCTTGTAAATGAAATTTAAATAATTTTAGTAACTATTCACAGATGGCGCTGTTACAATTTAAAATATTTTAGTTCATATTTAAAGGTTTCCTTTAAGATATCATTGATTTGAAGAATCGTCTATATTTATTTATTTAGTACTAGCAGAAACCGCGGCTTCACTCGCGCTTAAACTACAAAAGAATCTAAACACGTTGGTTTAATACAAAGTTTCATCCCTTATTTTAGCCCTTATAGGATGAATTTCAAAAAATTCTAAGATACATGTTTATTTAATTTTATCGAAGTGCATTAATACCAATTTTCAAGTAATTCTGATCATAAATTTTTTTTTGGGATCGTATTATAACGTGTTTTCCTGTGGGAATTAGATAATCTCCCGCGGTAAAAAGTAGCCTATGTCACTCTCCAGCCCTCCAACTATCTTCACACAAAAAATTACACCAATCCGTCACTCCGTTTCGACGTGAAACAAGGACAAACAAACACACTTTCACATTTATAATATTAGTATGAATGTACAATAAAGAGTTTTAAATATTATTATTAGTATCCATACCATCTTCAGGCGGCTGTTTGTTTCTATCCACATTCCTTATATCATCTAGTGTGACGTCATCCTTCGAGAACAATCCACCGTGCATTACTAGCACTCTGTTGTTAATGCAATGGGCCAGCGGTAACCAATTGTACAGTTCGGTGAAGAGATCGACCATTTGTGAAGTATATTTAGATGTAACTTCTCCACAAAAGCCGTACACTCTGTTCATGTCTCGAGTTTCATGGTTACCTGTGAAATATTAATTTTCAGTACACATACAATGATGTTCTCCTGGCCGATTCCGGCCACGGCGGCCAATCTCATTGAGACTAGCCAACTGCGCAGGAGACATTATAGTGCACAAGTGTCCGCGCAGACACAACATGCACTCTCTTTTCCTGTCACTCTCATAAATCGACACGACCAGTGAGAGTTAAGGCGCAGGACCGACGGCTTTACATGTTCTCGGAGGCACGGGGGTGAAACACCGCCAACTTCCCAACTCCGGGCTGTTACTGAGACTTACTATACAGAAAGACACAATAACTAAACTTGGCCCGACCCGGGACTCGAACCCAGGACCTGTGAGTGTGCAGCCGTACATGCTAGCCACTGCACCACTGAGGCACTTAACATATACAATAATGGGTTGCTAATGCATGTTCATAGATGGCGCTGTTTTTAATGAGTTAAGTTTCTTATATTTACGCGAATATTTGACATTTTATTTATTTTTATTATTACGCAAATATTTAATCGTGGTACTGAAATATGTTAAATATAATAAAATTTGAACTGCGTTTAATTTAACGATTTGGAAGAATATTACTTACCTCGCGACATATAGAAGTGGTCAGGATATAGCAATTTGAAACTGAATAGTGTAAAAATGCATTCTACACTAAAAGAGCCTCGATCCACAAAATCTCCATTGAACAAATATGGATTTTTCTCAGACGGCAGACCATTTAATTTAAATATATTCATCAAATCATAAAACTGTCCATGTATATCTCCACATACTGTGAACTTTTGGTTGTCTGGTACTTTTATATCAATTAGTGATGGCTGCTTTTGGAAATATGCCTTGACATCTATTAGTATCTGAAAGCAGATAAATTAAATATTTTTAAATAAAATTCTTCAAATAATTGCCAATTTTTCTTATAAGCACTGTATATAATTCCATAATATGTATTTAGTAAAAGGCTATTATTTTGTCATCAAAAACAGACACTTCAATTCTGTATATGTAGATAAATGTAAAAGTTACAGATAAAAAGAAAGAACATGTTTGATGTTGAATATGTTTTAGCACCTCTAATACATTATATATTCTCATTGTTATTTAATTTAGTTACCTTATAAGCATATTTCTTATGTAATTTCTTTTGTTCCTTGTAGTATTCCATAAGGTCAGTGACAAACTTCAGCGTCACTTTGCCATCTTCTAGACTGGGACCATCGTATTCATCTTCAATAGCTGTAATATTACTTAACTGTAAAGTACGCTATTTAACTGTAGTCTTATGATATGACGACACGTTTGGCTCATTTTGTAGTGACCCTACTTGTTGTGCCATCGGTCGCGTATTCTAGTCCCGCTGGGGGCATTAATTTGTGTGATGTGCACAAATGTTTGTACTCCAGTTATGGGTGTTTATATTTATAATATGTATGTATTAAAAGTTATATATGTGTTGTGTATCAACTATCTGGTATCCATAACACAAGCCTCATAGCTTAGTCATCTCTACTCATATTTATATTTACTATGAACAATCATATTCAATTCTGCCAACATGAGCAAAAGAGAGATGAATAAACTAACAAAAGAATTGCTCACAGTACTATGGAAAGGGCTATGATTGTTTTTTTTTAAGTTATAGGGTTCGAGACAAGCATGTTATACAGTGCTACAGTCATTCATATAGAAGAAGGAAAATAAGTAAAATTAAAAGACAAATGGCTGGTAGGGGTGGTATTAAAAACCAAAGATCTTAAACGTAATGCAAATTAGCGCCATTAGAGCCTGACGTTTAAAATGTAAAAAAAAATTTATCTTTATTAATAATAAACAATTTTCTTGCACAATCAACAAAATTTTAAAATATCATCCTAAATAAAATGAAATCTTGAAGTCCTCTAAAGCAAGGTGACATTATAACAAATACGATGTTAAAAGAACACGGCAATCACTTTTTTTTTAATAAATTAAAAAAATGTAGCTCAATGATATTTAAAAGAGCAACTGTAGAGTTTCTCGCCGGCTCTTCTCAGCAGAACTGCTTTCCGAGCCGGTGGTGGTTTACTTACGGACTGACAGCTGACAACACTGACGCTCTTTAAATTAAATTTACTATTCAAAAGAGCTCATATAAGTCTAATTGAATAAAGTTCAAATTCCATTCATTCATTCAATTTTAGGGTCATAATGAGTAAAAATTTGGTAATGAGAGCAACTGTGACAGAAAACTTAGGAGCCTACGCTTATTGAACGGATGATTTAAAGAGGAAAGAGTATGAGAGGGGAATAGAGGTAAAGATTGAACTTGACTTACTCATGGCATCAAGATTGATGGAATCCGCTATATTAACTACTTTCATATCCACAGATATGGCTTTTTCAAATGCAATCTTCTTAACTATTTTATTGCATTCATTGTATTTCATTTTTGCATCTTGGTCATTTGGCCTTACTTTGGTTACCTGGAATGACATGGCATTTTTAAACTTACAAGATTAACATATATGTTAAACATGTTTGACATAATAAAACAATAATTATTATTATAGTTGAAAAAAACATGTTTTGGCACTATATAAAATAATATATTAAGCAAAATAAATTGTATTTAATCATTAATATATAAAAATATACATATTATGTACACAATTCCTAACAAATATCTCTTCAAAAAGTGGCGTCGACGTGTGACATTGAGTCAAACCAAAGAAAGAAATCCAAAAATCGAAAGTTCTAATTGTCTGAACACAAATTCGAACTCACACCATATAAAGTACTTTCTTAAATGACACCACATTTGTTTTATTTTGTCATCTGAAAAGCAATGAACAAAAAAGTGCAATTCAATTTCGAATTCTGCACTTCTTTTTGAGGACACCTTTGAGGCGCTAATTGTGTAGTAGTGTAGTTTTTGTATATCAATAAATAAATTAATTTCAGTATTTTTTTGTTAGGATTTAAATAGAAATGTGGCTAAAAAAAATTATAGAGAAAGCCAGCTGACAATATCTAAATAAATATGACAAGATATGAACTTTAATTTTCATTAAAATTTTATATAATATTCATTTGTGCTGTATTATATTTATTCATATTGAAATAGATTTGCTTTACTTTTCATTGGCTGGCACTGACTTCGAAAATATCTGATTATGTATTTATCGTAAATGAAAGCCCCAATTATTTTTATTTGGAGTGTCTATAAGTCGTTTTTATTAAGTTATTTATTTTTTGTGCTGCGTGTCGATTTTTATTTATTTTTAACCGACAAATAAAGCAGGAGGTTCTCAATTTTTTTTATGTGACACATTTTTTTTATGTTTGACCATGCATAACATATTACGACGTAGTCCATTTCAATTATTCTCTTTTTATTAGATAGGGTAGACCTCAAAGTTGGTACCATTTTTATTTGGAATAGAAAATCCACCCCTAAGTGTAGGAAATAGGGGATGGTTGATTTTTACTTACTGAATTTTTAAAATACTTTTTTTTATTTTGCTACTACTATGTCTACATTAAAAATGGAAAAATAAAAACTAAAATAAATAAATAAATATGTTGGGACATTAACACACAACACCATCTAGTTCCATGGTAAGCTACGAGGCTTGTGTTATGGATACCAGATAGTTGATACACTACACATATATAGCTTTAAATACATACATATTATAAATATAAACACCCATGACTGAAGTACAAACATTCATGCTCATCACACAAATGAATGCCCCCAGCGGGACTCGAACCCGCGACCGCTGGCACAGAAAGTAGGGTCACTACAAACTGAGCCAAACGTGTCATCAAAATAAAAATAAATAAAAATAAGACCGACTTCAAAAAAAAAAGAACAAATACACTAAAAATAACTGATTGGTAGTTTTCATACTATAGATAACTAATCAGACATTTTCAAAGTTGGTGTGCTTTCATTTGTATTAGCTGACAAAAAAAAAATTACTAGTGTTTTTGTAATAGTAGTCTTTATATGAACTACAAAGAAAGTAAGGAAATAAGCAAAGGATAAAAATTTATTTATCACCTAATTTATAACTGACTTTATAGTAAATTTAATGCCTAAATTTAAAGGAAATAATTTAATTACATATAGCAGTATAATTTTTCATTGTTGTTGTATTTTATTAAAAAATAACTCTAATTTGATGGTTGTTTATGATATCAATAAACAAAGTTAATTTTCCACAATAATTATTATTTGTAATCAAAAAAAGATTTTTAATCAAAAGACAAAATCTATCTATCACCTAATTCATAGCTTGACTAAATAAAAAAGGCTATAATATTATATGTTGTATTTTATTTTAAAAACAACTTTTATCTGATGGTTGAATAAAATAAACAAAAATTAATTTCTATGATAATTATTTTTTAAATGATTTAAAAATGCACTTTACATTTTGTGTATGTTACTTGTCTTATTATTATGAATTATAAGTTATAATTTATAAGTGTTGTTTCACATAATAAAAAAACTCTTCTAAAGGTGGAATAATTACTATTAAATTGATATTAAATTAGCTTGCATTTTTAGGCTATTATTATAAAAAAACATCAATATATAATTATCATTGATAATTATCAATTATGATAGCTAAGTAGCCAAATAGCAACACAAGACAGCCCAATACCTACACAAGGATTGCTAAGTTTTTATCTGTTTGATAATTATCGGATAATTCTATTGATAATTATCTCAATAATTATCAATAGACAATATGATAATTTCATTCTCTGGTACTTATTGATATATTGGTATATTCCTTAACAAGAATTCACTTTACAAAAATTCAAAATAAAACATATAAATTATTATGCTTTATTTAATTATGATGTATATACCTACTTTAAAAAATAATTCATCTTTTACAAAAACCTCCTCACATTATAACAATAAGGAAAAATTCGACATCCGTGTAACTAAGCATTTTATGATAAAAAATACCATGTGCTTATTCCTATGTATAGTTAAATAAGTAATTAGCATAAACTAATACTTATTTAAGTATGATATATAAATTCATACTTACATATTCAAAGTCCTTAAGGGCTAGTTTGTACTTTCCTAGAGACATGTAAGCAGCCGCCCGTCTGTAGTAGGCCTTGGTGTAAAACTTATCTAGATCTATGGCTTTAGATGCATCATTTAGTGCATATCCAAAATTTTCAAGCCTTAAGTTAGATATACTTCTATTTGCGAAGTAAACCGCATTCGTTGGGTTCTTCTCTATTGCCTCAGTGTATAATTCAATTGCGCGGTTGTAGTTTTGTACTGAAATGAAGGTTATAATTTATCCAATTATAATTTATAAAAATACGTAACGTCACCCCATACAACTATAGGGTATTATAGTTACAATCATTTTAGTTTAAATATTACATTTTCATTTATAAAACTGTATTTAAATAAGAAGGAAACTTACTTTTAAAAAAATTATTTGCTCTATTTTTTAGTTCCTCCGCCTCCTCTATGTCTTCTTGAGACACAGGCCCGGATAGATCTTCGTTACCAGACATGGCTTAGTGATAAAATACGCGATAAAATAAAATGTTTATGAGTATATAAACCACTTATTCATGTGAAAAAAATGTGATTTTTCACATACATTTACATGACCGCAAATCTGGAAAATGATTTGATAGAATATTGAATGAACGATTTTCTGAATGAGTGTTTGATTTAAATGTTGCTATTTATCAATGAATTAATTTGTAATGACAGTTTACATTTTGTCTATGGTATATAGTTCTTAAGTCAGCCGCCCTACAAATGATGGAGTATGTTTTAGGTAAATTAATTTTTATATACATTATAACATAAATAAGATAATTGGACCTAAATAAGATAGTTATCAAGTTATTATTTTTAATTTTTTCATTGGTATACTGTAAGGAAATGAAAAAATTTGTATCAATTTAAGAAAACGTAAATGACTTATTTATTTAGAAAGAGATGTGAAATAAAACTTGATATTAAGTTATTCGAAAATTATAACCTACAATAACATAATGTACTGCAATCTATCACATTTTTTTATTTTTATATAAAAATTACTACAATAATAATAGCATTCAATATTGTATTTTTAACATTTGTGTATCTGTATTCTGTGTTTGTGTATGCTTGTGACAGTGTTACAACTTTACCAACTTTTCGTATCTAACACCTATCTACCACCTTGCGAAGAAAATCTACCAACTTTTAAAATTTTTGAAAAATGTTAGGTCTATGTCCGCAAAAATGATATTAATGCCTTTAATTTCCAAAGAATGTATACTTTCAAAGAATAAAATAGTAAAAAAGTCATATTATTTTTATATTGTCATATTTTAACTCTAAAAACATTTAAAACCTTGAAGTAAATAGTACATGAAAATAGAAATATTTCGCAACTCAAACTAGGTACTTTTATTATAGAAAAAAAAACATATTTTTTTCGAGTTTTATTTTGGGAATTGAGCAATGATTCTGCTTTCACATAGGGTTCCTTATAAAAAGAGATGAAATATTTGTTATCCAATAGAAACATTAATTATGTGTATCATATTATTATAGTGAGGTCTCTAGAAAACTCTAAAAGATATGGGTAGATCTACCAACATTTCATAGTAGGATTGGTAGGAAACTACCAATTTCTGAATATGCTAAATACCGTATCTACCTCCGAGACAACCTTTGAGTTGGCAGCACTGGCTTGTGACACCATGGTCCATGATACTCAAACGTCGATCGATCGAGAGTGTCCTTAGCTAATAAATCAAAAAAATCCGTTCAGCCGTTTGCCATCAGCTATTAGCTCTTTTATCGACGGTAAAAGGATATGAGCAACTTCCACAGATCTAATCCCGGATGTATCCCGTTACTTTAATAATATTGAAATCATATGGTAACCTTGGCCTGATGCTGCAGCGTCACCTAGAATCTGCGAGATACTCAACTCTTTACTAAAATACTGCAGAGATATCTATGTTTAGGCTCATTAAAATGGCTTTTATGAATAGGTTATTGTGTAGTTTTTTAGGGTTCCGTACCCAAGGGTAAAACGGGAATCTATTACTAAGACTTTTAGATCCGAAATTGCAATGGGGCCCCCATATTGAGGGGCTAGCGAGTAGACTCAGCTCTGCAGCGTTCGCGGTAAAAAAATAAGACTTACTTACTTACTGATGTAGATACAGCTCGCATAGTATATTTTAGTTATTTTCATAGTATTATGTCCTATGGTATCTTACTATGGGGAAATGCAGCTGCTATTAATACGATTTTTGTCCTGCAGAAAAGAGCTATTCGTGCATTTTATAGTTTAGGTCCTAAAGTGTCATTAAGAGATAAGTTTAGAGAAATAAAAATATTGACTGTTGCTTCTCAGTACGTGTACGAAAATGTTATGTATGTCCGTAAAAATATACACGAATTTCCCAAGAAGTGTGACATGCATAACATTAATACTAGGAGCAAACACAAACAGTACAGTAAACAGTCAGTAATTCTTTTTAAGGACAATGTATACGCTTGTATAACAGGATCCTAGAAAATGTTCAAAAGGCTTCTATCGCCAAATTAAAAAAAAAAATGTTAAAGAACGTTTGTGTGCTAAAGTCTATTATACAATAAATGATTTTATAGAAGATGGCACACCTTGGGAACGAAATGATCGCCTCCAGGCTACTTCAACTTGATAGAAATATTGTAAATTATAATATTACTTTAAAAAAAAGATTATACTTTTAAGAAAAGATATTGGTCCGGCTAAGTTTCTTTCGCCAGTTCTTCTCAGGTCTGAGGCTTTTTCTTTCCGAACTGGTAGTAGACTCATGACGTTCAGTAAAAAATTGTAATAATTTAATGCTGAATAAAATATTTTGATTTGATTTAAGACTTCGCTATCCGTTTGTCTGTCTGTCTGTCCGTCTGTCACCAGGCTGTATCTCATGAACCGTGATAGTTAGTTGAAATTTTCAGAGATGATGTATTTCTATTGCCGCTATAACAACAAATATTAAAAAATAAATATTTAAGGGGGGCTCCCATATAAAAATTATGGAACCCTTCGTGCGCGAGTCCGACTTTTGTACAATGAAACCTCCTCTGTTTGTGACAGAAAAAGATCTGGCCGTCCACGTAGTGTTCGTACGAAAAAGGCGATCAAAGGAGTAAGGGAAAGAATTCGAAAAAATCCTGTCCGAAAGCAAAAGATTTTATCTCGGGAGATGAAGATAGCACCAAGAACCTTGTCCCGTATTTTAAAAGATGACTTGGGGCTTGCAGCCTATAAGAGACGCACTGGTCATTTCTTAACTGATAATTTAAAAAAACAATAGGGTGGTAAAATTAAAACAACTACCTACTTAAGCGGTACGCAAAGGGAGGTCACAGAAAAAAATTGTTTACGGATGAGAATTTTTTGACTATTAAGCAATATTTTAACAAACACAGTCTCAAAGCTCTAAGGAAGGTTCCCAATTAGTCAACAGAGTATAAAGTGGACATTATCCGACTTCAGTGATAGTTAGGTGGGGTGTTAGCTATGAAGGAGTGACTGAGCCATATTTTTGTGAAAAAGGTATCAAAACATCGGCATAAGTGTATCAAGATACCATTCTTGAGAAGGTAGTTAAGCCCTTTAACAACACCATGTTCAATAACCAAGAATGGTCCTTTCAGCAAGACTCGGCGTCGGGTTATAAAGCTCGATCCACGCAATCTTGTATAGAAAACCACGTTCCGGACTTCATCAGAGTTGAAGACTGGCCGTTATCTACTCCCGATATTAATCCGCTGGATTATGATTTATGGTCAGTTTTTGAGAATATGGGTGGCTCTAAATGCCATGATAATTTGGAATCCCTAAAACAATCCATACGATTGGCAGTGAAGAATTTTCCGATGGAAAGAGTGCGTGCTTCTATTGATAACTGGCCTCAACGTTTAAAGAAATGTATTGCAGCCAATGGAGGTGGTCTCTTCGAATAAGCTTTATATATTTTTAATGGTTTTATATTAATGTATTAAACTAACACACTGTAATAGTAATAAATGTTACGTGCAATAGAAAAAATGTTTTTTCCTTTGTAACAATATTTAGGGCAAGATTATGTAAATCCTATAAGTATGATACCTATATCTTGAATCTGGGATTGCAAATTGTACTGAATGCCACAGTTTTGATTTTTGCATAAAGTCAATAAAACAATATTTTTTTTTGTCTTTTTATAAATAAAACGTGCTAAAAGAGAAAATTACTTTAAAAGATTGTAATAAAACTACCAATAATTACGAATAAAATAATCATTTATTTCCTTATATTATAAATAAATAATAACTATTAAAACATTAAGCATTGAGCATTGAGCATCTATAAATAATAATTTATTATTAAAAAGAGTTACAAATTCATTTGTTAAAATAAATTTATATTTTTTTTATTATTTACATAACACAGACGGACAATAGAGAATATACGTGACTTGCTTTTAATTTCTTATACAATAGCTAACATCATTATATAATTGTAAAAAATATCCAGCTCCAAAAAACTATTTAGAATATATTTTTTTTATAATATCATACCGATACGGATACTTTAAACGATCGCCATATCGCGCGCTTGGCGTTACGTCAAAATATCATACATAGAAAAATGGCGACTTTAGTTTGTAGCGACAAAATCGCTAATCGCTCTGATAATACGTTTACGTCATATTCGGTTTGACCAATGGTGTGTGTTTCAACTACTTTGAATTTCCTATCTATTTTTGCCCTTTTTAATAATTATTTTCTTTATCAAAAAGAATAAACATTAAAACTTTAGAAATAGGCTTAATTCAGAAGCAATAAATATTGAAATATTGAAAAAAAAACATATTTCACCTTTATTTAAATCACACGCATATTCCCTATTAAGTAAAAATACCGATATTTTTGTTACATAATTTAAGCTATTAAATAATGAATTTATACAGCATTTTGCAGTGAAGCTAAGTAAATTTTAGCCTTTAAATATTGCTAATGCGACTACTTTAATCTGTCTAATTTGTTAATTAATTATGCCTACACGTTTCGTCATGGGAATTATTTAATTTATTATTTAAAGTTAAATAAATGTAAAATGGTGCATATAAGCATAATAATAATACTGCTGTTAACCAAAATGGCGCTGGATGGTTCAGGGTCAGGTTCAGGGCAGTCGTCATTTTGTTCTACACTTATGAAGTAGTCATGATTTAGTTCTGGCCTCGATTCAATGGTGGCGTTGATGGCTCTTTGACCAATTTCAGGCATTGTGCGGTTACGACTTAACTTCCATACGCCAACTGGAAAAAAATAGTTTTTTTGTTAATTGTGGGTAGGCTGTCTGTAACAACTATACATTCAAGACATGTAACACCTCAGTCTCTCCCGTGACCATGGATGCTGTAAAGCATTCGAAACGTCGGGAAACAAAAATGCAAATAAATCCGCGACAAAATCCGAAAAGATAGTTTTATTTAAAAAGTTCTTTTTAATTTAGGGCTTTTTAAGAATTCATTTGTTTTAGGAATATTTTTTTTTGGATAATAAATTATTTAATGTATAAAGATTTTGAAATCTTACTGACGAAATTACAAAAAATCTCTGTACATTTATAACATAAAACATACATAGTTTATAATTACATATGTTAATACTTATTTTGAAAAAAAAAATCCACGGGAGAAATATTCCACGGGAACCGTAAATTTTTCCGGGATAAAAAGTAGCCTATGTGTTATTCCAGGCTATATATCTACCACTGTGCCAAACATCCAAATCCGTTCAGCCGTTCTGGCGTGAAATAGTTACAAACATCCATATATCCATACTCACAAACTTTCACATTTATAATATTAGTGTAGATTCAGTTACAAGGATATAATTTATCAATATATCCATATTATTGTCGCTTTTTATAACTTGTGTTGCCCTCGGCTCTTCGCGGAATTTAATTATGTGTTATACCAGAATAGATAGTTTTGCTGTTTTCTTGTTTATTCAGTGAATTGATGCCTGTTGTTTATATATTTTTAATAGAATATTCTAGTAATTATTCCACTATATACATACCGGCGCGTCTGTAAGGGTTTACGTCGACGCAGCTATATGCGAGCGAGTACGACACGTAGTCCGTAGCTAGCACATACAGATTCATAGAAACCATCATTGGTTCTGGATCTAAAAGTTTAAGATAAAATAATTGGTTAGATTGTTTTAGAATATTATAAAATAATAATTATAATGAATAAAACTATCTTTTCGGATTATTTCGCGGATTTATTTTGATTTTTGGTTCCCGACGTTTCGAATGCTTTACAGCATCCATGGTCACGGGAGAGACTGAGGTGTTACATGTCTTAAAGATATAGTTGTTACAGACAGCCTACCCACAATTAACAAAATGAAAATTGCACCAATTACATTACAATATTTTAACTTTAACATTTTTATAATTTTAATTATAATTGAATATGGAAAATTATTTATTTAATTTTTGCTATTATTTTTATAATTATTACAATTTTAAAATATTAATTAGTAATCTATATTTAGTGTTGCCATTATTATATTTATAACCATAAAGAAAAATATAAAATATAGTATTAATTATTATTTGAGGTCTATCGAAACGAATATAATGGCTTGGCATCCATTATATTCGTTTCGATAGACCTCAAATCCTGGCGAAAGAAAACCGATATCGCCCTAGAATGATTCGAGAAGCCATAGAAATTAAAAAACATCCAAATTTCAATAGGGAAGATGGCTGGGTACTACCATCGTCATGGGATCCTGTTATTAATATAATAAAATCAAATAATAAATATAAACATAACAGACAGGCAGATGTAGTAAGTTCATACTGTGTAGATCAAAATGACAGCTTATCAGATTGATATTTTTCATTTTTCATTTGTAAAAGTATATATTAATAGTGTTGCTTAGTAAGTTGTTTTTAAATAATAGCAAACTAAATTAAAATTATAATCCTTAATTAATTTTAACTTTTTAAATTACACATTGAACAATTATATGGCTTAAATAATTAATACTATATTTTATATTTTTCTTTATGGTTATAAATATAATAATGGCAACACTAAATATAGATTACTAATTAATAAAATTGTAATAATTATAAAAATAATAGCAAAAATTAAATAAATAATTTTCCATATTCAATTATAATTAAAATTATAAAAATGTTAAAGTTAAAATATTGTAATGTAATTGGTGCAATTTTCATTTTGTTAATTGTGGGTAGGCTGTCTGTAACAACTATATCTTTAAGACATGTAACACCTCAGTCTCTCCCGTGACCATGGATGCTGTAAAGCATTCGAAACGTCGGGAACCAAAAATCAAAATAAATCCGCGAAATAATCCGAAAAGATAGTTTTATTTAATAATGTCAAACATTCGCGTAAATCTAAGAAAGTATTAATTATAATGAAGCTATATACATATATTTTTTTGACATTAACACACAGCACCATCTAGTTCCATGGTAAGCTACGAGGCTTGTGTTATGGATACCAGATAGTTATACACTACACATATATAAATTTAAATACATACATATTATAAATATAAACACCTATGACTGGAGAACAAACATTTGTGCTCATTACATAAATGTATGCCCCCAGCGGGATTCGAACCCGCGTCCGTTGGCACAGCAAGTAGGGTCACTACAAACTGAGCCATACATGTAACATAATCATACAATATATACTCGTAAATATGAAATTATATAAAACAAAATTATAATCTGTTAAAGACTGTCAACTCACCATCAGTGAATCTCACTGGTAGATTTACCAAAAGCCTGGCACTGCCATCAGTAGAATTAACAGTGGCATTTCCTCGTACTTCGTCCAAAACACCATTAACAACTTGCCAGTTCAGAACCTCTACTACATTTGTTTCGGTGTTCAGAGTATAACGCGCTCCCACGCATGTACCATTTTCATGGATTTGTGGGTACCGCTCGATTTGATACCAATCGCCAGAGTACTGTAAAATGTTTGTATTATTAGCTATATGTTACTTTAACAATATTTTCCTTGCAAATGAGAAGTTCAAGTCTCAGCGAGTCACTCAATTTAATTGTGTAAAGCAGATTATTTCTATTTCCTTATAGTCCGTAGTAAATTTTTTTTCTAATTTTTCGATCTGATGAATTTGTCACTATTATAATATGGTCTTGTTAAGTAAAATACGAAAAGAATGGCATCGCATTTAAAATCCGTTAATTAATTGGCGTTAGACTAATCAGGTAACAATAATTTTGCCTTTTAAGATTACATTAAGATTTTTAAACTTACACTCGCAGTACTAAAGTTTTGTACGACAGGTATACTCTCATCACAAGTTCCAGGTAGAATAACTGGATTTCCAGTCGGTTCTGGGTAGTAGAAGCAGGCGCTATCCGATTGATTGGTAATAAGGAAAAACCGTGTTTCCAAGGTTGTCGTATTTTGAATGACAGCGGCCATTGCGTTTTGGGAATTGACGTCCAGTGAACGGGACTTGCTGTATTTTGCACTCCATACTACAATATAAATTATAATCCATATTATTATCATGAAACTATTGGTATTGGTAGCCCAGTGGTAATGCGCTCACTTGGGAAACCAAGTGAATGGGGTTCAAATCTCGCCTAGAACCTTTAATATTCAGGTGCAAATTATTTTCAACATAATTATCACTTCCTCTATGTCTGAGATAACATAGCAAGTTTTCAAAAGACATGTGAAGTGCTACAACCAGCCATGCCAGCGAGGTGGACTAGGCCTGATTCCTTAATATTGAAGGGAAGCTCGTGTCTAGCTGTGAGAAGTTAAAAAGGGCTAAATACAATGAAACTAACCAAGTTATATATAAAAACAACGAGATTCCATGAATGAATTTTGTGTAAGCAAATTAATTTTAGTTTTTTTCTAAATAAATATTTGTTAAAAACAATGATAAAATAAGTATCGGTAGTCAAGTCGTTTACCTCGCCTATAAGTGCTGTTGACATTCACGCATGAGTAAAGTAGTGCGTAATTATCGTAATCAGTTGCCAGTACCCACCAACCTGAAATAAGAAATTATTTAAGAACATTATCACCAAGTTCTTCTTTATTTCTACTCGTATTATGAAAAGAGCTTCCTATTCACTCAGTGTAAGTAAATTCTTCGCCATCATTCTAAAACTGTTGGTAAGGTTTTGTTTCTGTAGACGAAAGCTGGAAAATAAGTGATCATTTTGTCTCATCTCATTTTTGGCTATTTCATGAATTTTTGATTTCAATAACAATTAAGGTATTATTTTTCTTTTTTATAAATATGTATGTGTATTCTAACTTTTATTTGTATTGAAATAAAATGTGCACTTTATAGATGTCGTTTAAAAATCATATTTAATAGATTATTAACGATTTTATTGATGTCTAACTAAAAGTTTGCAAAATAACAATGAAATATTTTAATTCACTCACGATCAAATTCACCACCATCCGGGCGAATCCTTATTATTTGTCCATTATTAGTTATAGTCACATCACTCGTATTCATTTGGGCGGAAAGTCCGGTCACACTTGTTTCGACAAGTTGGAAGTCATTACCAACTTGTTTATATTCAGAGCTTCTACAATCTCCTCTGACATTGTCTGTCGGATAGCTTTCTATTTCATGCCACCAACCAAGGAACTGTATAAAAGAAATTATGTTTATTTGTATATTGTTCTATTATACGTTTAGGGAAGTTAAGTTATTATAAAAGTAGGTTTATTAAATTAATATTTGGAATACAACTAGAGTAGTTATTCTTAAGGATTTTTTGGCATTAAGCCACATTCTCATGAATTTGAACTGTATGTTTCAATTTAACACATTAACCATTTATTAAAATTGTCCTATACAATCACACCAAATTTTATTCCAAATTTCATCTTGATCAATTTCTGTATGGAAGAAAATAGATTGAGATACAAACAAATGCATTTTCGCACACAGAATATTAGTAAGTGATTGGCGATTAAGTCCATCGTACCTTGTGAGCCTCAAATCCTTGGAGACCCTGAATATTTTCACACTGCCCCCTGAATTCTGGAGCTTGATTTTTATTGACGTCTGGTATATAGAAGCAAGCGGCATCACTTTGGTCCGTAGACCTATAGTACGGTTGATGGAGGCCTTCAGTATTATCCACAATGGAGTTGATGATTGGGATTGCTAGTGGAGAAAGTGTGGTGAAACGGGATAGCTTCCAGCTGCTTACTGAAATTTTTAAATATTTTTTGGTTATAAGCAGTATTTATGTTAATTAGTACATATTTTATGAATTTTAGTGTACAGATTAGATTGGATAGACTATGACTCGATCTAACCGAAAGGTGGCGCTGCTTACATAATGATAATATAAATACAAAATACACCTGAATAAAGCGAGGGTAAGTTGCTAGATAAAACTTAAAGGTAAATATGATCTCTTGAACTTACCTGTTCTGTTACCATTAGTGAGGTTCCGACAGCTGTATACCAGTGCAAAGCTCGTGTAATCAGTCTCAAGCACGTAGTAATTGACTGTGTTTGTTACTGTAACAAAAATATATATGGTGTAACAAAGTACTTTTATGGATCATGTTTGGCTATATGTTATATTAGAGTTGATAAAAGTGAGTTCGAGGTTGATTTTGAATAATACATATATATGTTGGGACATTAACACACAGCACCATCTAGTTCCATGGTAAGCTACGAGGCCTGCGTTATGGATACCAGATAGTTGATACACTACACTTATTTAACTTTAAGTACATACATAATTACATATTATAAATATAAACATTCATGACTGGAGTAAAAACATTCGTTCTCATCGCACAAATAAATGCCCACGGCGGGACTCGAACCCGCGACCGCTGGCACAGCAAGTAGGGTTACTGCAAACTGAGTCAAACGTGTCGTCCCATGGAGATAAAATTATTTAATTTTATTTAATAACATATGAGTATACTATAAATATTTATATACAATTTTAAAACATTATTTTTTACCTTCTTGTTTAGTTAGCACTCTGTTTATATTATTCTTCAGTCTGACTTAATATATACATAATGTAAATATTGAACACTTACCATTATTGGGTAACACGAAGGTAACATTTAAAAGTCCGCTGCCGTCATCAGACGCGACTACAGCCGTAGCGTTTTGCACGGCGAGCGTGTTGTTGACTACTTGCGAGTTGAGGACGGTGACGAAATCGCCAGTGAGGCTGTACTGAGCGCGTGCGCACTGGCCAAATTGGAACGGTTGCGGGTAGCTTTCGATCTCGTACCATTTGCCAAGGTACTGTGGATTTGTAAAGAAATATGTAAATATTTAGTAATATAAATTTTCTTTTTCTTCCATAACTTCAATATGAATAAATTAATAAAGATGTTGGAATATTAACACACAGCAACATCTAGTTCTATGGTAAGTACGAGGCCTTTGTTATGGATACCTGATTGTATAAACACTACACATAAATAAATACATATTATAAATATAAACACCCATGACTGGAGTACAAACATTCGTGCTCATCACACAAATGAATGCTCCCAGCGGGACTCAAACCCGCGACCACGGGCACAGTAAGTAGGGTCGACAGGGTGACAAACTGAACCAAATGTGTCGTCAAATCGTATAGAAAAATCTGAAAGTATGTATGTATGTTACTCTTTCCCGTTGAAACTCAAGAAATATTCTTCCAAACTATATTAATCATCATTAATTCATCAAGTCTTACTTTTTACACAAATTATTTCCTTATCTATCTTTTAGTATTACTTTTTTATCTATGTATGTATTCAGCCTTTTTAATCGTCCCACTGCTGGGCACGGGCCTCCCTTCAGTACGAGGGATCATACTTTACATGTCTTTTGAAAACTTGCTAAGTTCTCTCAGACATGCAGGTTTCATCACGATGTTTTCGTTCACCGTTAATACAAGTGGCAATCATATTGGAAATTATTCGCACATGAAAATATCAGGGGTGCGAGATCCGGGATTTGAACCCACTTCACTCGGTTTCCCAAGCGAGCGCATTACCTGGGCTACCACTGCCTACACTTTCTTTGCCATACCAAAATTATATTTAAGTATATTACTTACATCCTGAACATTGAAATTAGCTTTAGCTCTGATAGTTGGATCGCAACTACCAATAAGTTCGATCTCATATGGCAGTTGAGCGAACTCTGGGTAGTGGAAGCATCCGCGTGTGGTTTGATCAGTTATTTCGTAGTATCCTTGGAAGAGATCTCGTGTCCTGTTGACGATTTCACCTATGTTCCTTTCAGCTTCTGCTGAGAGTCCTTGTTGCGATCTGCTTAGCTTCCAACTGTATACTGTTGTGAAGAATAAATTTATATAGAATAGAAGAAATAAAAAAGTAAGGTGCGGGTTTTAAATTTAACTATTCTTACTAAATACTATTTCCCATCGCAAAGTAGCGGGATGTGGACGAAATGTAATTATGTTTGTCCTTATAATATTATTTTTCTTGTTAAATTTCATCGAAATCTGTTTAGCGTTTCAAGAAGAAATATATTGGCTGCTTTAAGATTTATTTAGTAATAGACATTCACGTTGGTAGAACTTAATATACCTATATACTTACTATACGTAACTTAATATACGTATATATACTAACTTTTACCTCATAAATTATATTGTTTAGTTTTTATTTATATATCCTAGGATATTCTTTTATTTAATTTAAAATATGATAATTGAGCTTCTAAATTATAGTTTACATGAACGAAAATGTTAAAAAAACGCGATAAAAACAGTCTCATAACCCACCTTGTTTATGAGTATTGTTGATGCTTCTACAGTTGTATAACAAAGCGTAGTCAGTGTAGTTCACATCCATGACGTAGAAGATTTGGAAATTTGCTGTAATAATGACGTATGGTATCATTAGATACTTAACATATTATATTATTATTAAATAACTAAATATTACGTTAAACGAAATAATAATTATCACGTTATAACAAAATAAAACATGAATACCCTCAAAAACTGAAAATTTCTGAAGATATTCAACGTTAGTATAATTTTACCAACATATTTTTGATTTATCAATAGATGGCGCTGTCTAAGAACGTTGAAAGAAAAAAGAAAACATTTTTCGAACGGTTGAATACTTATTAATGTACCTCCTTGATATTAATTGAGGTTCTCAATAAAACTACCTTTTCGGATTATTTCGCGGATTTATTTTGATTTTTGGTTCCCGACGTTTCGAATGTTTTACAGCAATCTTGGTCACGGGAGAGAGGTCTCTCCGAAATAATCCGAAAAGATAATTTTATTTAAAACTAGCACTGCCCGCGGCTTCGTCTGCGTTCAGATGACCAAAAACCAAATTCTTAGGTTTTACATATTAGTATTACTCTTACAATGCAGTTTTTGTATTTTTTCTCAGAAATGAGATATTTTCCCGTGGTAAAAAGTATCCTATATATTGACCCGGATAACCAGCTATCACCATACCAAATTTCATCAAAATCTGTCCAGTGGTTTTCTCGTGATGCGGTAACAGACAGACAAAAATTCTAAAAACTATAGATTCGGACTCTGTATCGATAATAATGTCTATTTCAATTAGATTCTCCAAAAAATATTTAAAGTACAGATTCGACTTAGTTACAATTTTATTATATGTACAGATAGATGTGAAATATTCGCGTAAATCTAAGAAAGTTTTATCTAGGTTCTAATCAAACTCAATTTCACCACTATATATTTTGAATTCCGTACCTTCTTGTCCGCTAAGAGTAACATTAATGATGCCTCGTCCGTCCGTAGCGAAGGAAGCGCGACCGTCCAAAGATATCATTCTTTCTCTGGCCACATAATTCTTATTCACAAGGAACTCTTGGTTAGTAAAGTTGAATTGAGAGGACACGCACTCCCCGTCTTGTAATTCGGAGGGAAAACGGTATATTTCGTACCAAGATCCTGCGAACTATTAGAATAATAACTGGTTAATGTAATGTAAATTAATTTATTTTCTCGACTCAATGCGAATTTTCGGGAAATTTATTGTTAACATACACACGGGTGTGTATGCGACTCTCAAAGGGTTGCAATACTATAATTTAGTAGTTCTTCAAAATCGGAAATAGGACGCAAGATTGTAACTGTTTACATTTATAATTAGAGAAAAACAAAAAAAGCTCAAAAAATGAGAATACAGACTATGACTCGGAGTAAGCCATAGACTACTGACCCCAACGGATTTTTTAATGATTAATAACAATTTAGTCCGCCAACTCGCACTTGGCCAGCGTGGTGGACTATGGCCTGACCCCCCTCGTATTGAAGGGAGGCCCGCCCCCAGCAGTGGGACGTTAAAAAAGGGCTGAATACATCTAACATCGAGGGGGCGACAAAATCCGAGAGTAGGACTGAGAAAGCCTACTATGTTATTTGTAGGACGATTTGATCAGTTATTTATGCATATTTTTAATAATGAAAACTAAGAAATTAATAAATTTTATGACGTTGTTATTTAAACAAGTTCAGAAAGGGAGACGTTTTGATCCAAACCATCTGTTTTGTAGGACAACATTTTTTTCTTGTTTAATGTTGGATTATCTCAAGATTAAACAGTAAAACAACGTCTTAGTAATAAATTGTATACTATCACCGTTTTGACATGTTCCGTATGAAGCCAAAATTGTATCACTAACAAATTAAGATCTAGTAAAAAAAATCCATTGGGGACTTTAGACCAATAGAGACGCTAACAAAAAGTATAATGCACGTAGAACACTGATTTTTTTAGCAGAATCAAAAAATGGACTCTTTCCATACTAACCGCATTAGGATTGAAGTTGTTGACAATAGCCACGTTACTTTCACACTGTCCCTCTAGTACTACAGGTCCACCATTGTTATTCGGGTAATAGAAGCAATTCTCTTCAGTATGTCCTCTTGCTACGAAGTACTGTTGCCGAAGTACCGGGATAGAGTTCATGGTAGTGTTTATAGCAGCTACTGACGCCGGTGCTAGGCTCTTCTGCCTACTTAATTTCCAGCTACTGACTATTTTGAAAATATTTTGTTGATTAAATGAGCTTTAAGTATGAATACATATTTTTTATACCTACTACTAATACTGTTTGTGTGTGTGTGTTTATGTTTGATACTTGTAAGTCATACATCCTAAAACGGCTGGATGAATTTAAATGGAATTAACCTAATAGTTAAATATAGTTTAGTATCTAATAGAAAGACTACGACTTGGAGGAAGACGTATATACTCTGAGGCACCCAGGGATGCATCCGAGCGAATTGTACGTAAATCGATATTTTATAAAAACTTGAAAAGGTATTTGTTTTCAGAAAGATATTTGTCAGTCACAGAAATTATTTTTAATGGATCATCTTTCGACTGTATGGAAGTAAAGTACAAGAAGACAGATTAAAAAGTTTTACTATAAACATCATCACTTACTTCTAAAGTATTCTTCGTTCATATTGACACATGAGTACACTAAGGCGTAGTTTGAGTAGTCAGTGGCAAGCACCCAGTATGGCGAGGATGTTGTTACTGTATAAATAATAAATTCAATTAGAAGGATACAAAAAGTGCTCGTAATGTCATAACATAATTAAGTATCTTTATTAAAAAAAGAAGGTGGTTCTCAATTCGACACATGTTTTTTACAATAATGGAAATACATTGAAATTGCAAAAATAGTAAATTATTATATTGTAAGGTTGCATTTTTATATATTGAACGTTTTAATAGAAAATAATATAATTGCTTAATTTGTAATCATTTATGTATAAGGCATTTACTTATGTGGCCTTGGCCGATAAGAATGTGTTTAAAAAAAAAAAGGCCGCGGATATTCATTTGTTTTCCCGCGCTTTTGCACAGAGAAGTCGGTACCACCATGTAGTGACTAGGCATGAATTGTTTGTAATACTAAAAATTATGATTATAAATTATGTAACTTACTGACGGTTATAAAAGTACTGAATATAAGAATATAAGCAAGGAATATCTCGAAGTTTTATTAGGGACCCAACAATATAAACAAAAATGTACACTTAATAATTACTATACAAGTATTACAACAGTATTGTACAATTAAGTCTTGATAATGTTACGGATTACCTCTGCACTAGGTAACGGTAACTCCTACATTCTGACATTAACTGAGTTTGGCTCATTTTCTATACATATTATTCGTTCTATTTATTCTACTACTTCAGTTAAACATAAGAATACCATAAGGATACGGCATAACGTAGCTATTGAATACACGGATGAAAATTTATGATGAAAAGACTATCGTCGAACTACGTACAATATGTACATACATACATACATCTATATAAATAAAAATGAATCACCGAAATGCATGTACGTGCCTAACTTCCGATCGACAGCATCAAATCGAATAATTATTTTTTTGTGTTTGTTATTATCAGGGCAAGTTATATAGAAGAAAATTAAAAGAAAAATTTTTTTTTTACTAAAATAAGATTTTTTTTAAATCTCATGATAAGAAAAATGAGTGAGTGAAATAGTTTCTATCCCGGAGTTTGTATAGGGAAGCAAGCTAGGGACAAACTCGAGCGAAGCGAGGGTGAGTCGCTAATAATACATTTACATATATTTAGTTTATCGATAACAAGCTTTCGTTAAAACTAGTTCTCGTCTACAAGACTAGAAAAAAAAGACTGCCAGCTAAAGACAATATTTTATTGTAGTAAGATGGCTTATTCAAAAGCAATAAAATTTTATACAACTTTTCGGGTTAGTTGATTAATGAAAGCCAATAAATGATGAATGACCACTTAAAATTTTAACGGTTTCAAAATGCTGTCTTGCCATATGTTAATATTATAGTCAACTTAATGAACGAAATAGTTGATAAATAGAGTAAAATCAATGACTTACGATTAGTTCCAGCGATAGGGAAGGTCACATTAAGTTTAGCGATATTAGCGGGCCCTGTTAATACCGCGAAGCCATTCATAGTGTCGAGCTGTTGATTGACCACTTGAGTGTTGAAGACGTCGACGTTAGCACCAAGAGTGTAGGTGGCAGTTGGGCATGTGCCGTCTTGGAAACGCTCAGGGTAGCTCTCTATGTCATACCAGGTATTCATGTACTGTTGGATTAATATTTGAATATTTATATGTAGAGGAAAATAAGAATGATTTGATTATCATGCCTATTAGATTAAGTTCTATCGACAACTGTTGTTGTTGTTGTGTACATGTTTGTATTCCTAATTTATATATTATATGCCCCATGCTTCGTATGAATATATCCTACTAATTTGTTTACTGCTACTACTACTAATGTGTTTTTTTTAAATCGTATACATCAGTTAATACTCACAGCTCGAGGATTGAAGTTATCCACAACTGGAATGCTCTCATTGCATTGTCCTCTGAACGTCACGGGATTGCCATCTGCTTCGGGATAGTAGAAGCAGGCACTGTCCGAGTGTTCTATTCTTGCGTAGTAACGCTGATTCAGGACATTAACAGAGTTCATGACGCGGTTGATTTCAGTGGTAGCATTTGCTGATAGTTCCCTTGTACGACTTAGCTTCCATGAGTATACTGGAAATGGGAATTCATAATAAAAATTACTTTTTGGAAGAAACACCGAACTAATGTAAACTGAAAAAAATACAGTATAACATTATTCATGAATTGTTCTGGTTCAAATTATTGATATATTATATGTACGTAGATGTAACACAATTAAAGATAGGAAAAGAATAGTTAATTATGTAAAAAAAACGAATTACGTGAATTTCAATAAATGTTTCAGTTCTATTATATTTATTTTTAACCGACATAAAAAGAACAAGTTCATGGATTTCTTAGGGAGGGTTTGACAAAAATTTTTAGTTAATTTTTTTTTAGAATAATAATAAAAGTTTTATACAACACGAAAGATGTAATTATTAATAAGAAAGTTTGGAAAGGCTGATATGTCTACTTTAAAACTGGGCAAAACCAGGTCGAATCGCTAGCTATATAAATATAATAAGATATTAGTACCTCGACGTTGTGTGGCAGTAACGTTGCGGCAACTATACACCAGAGCGTAGGAATTGTAGTCTGTGCTGAGCACCCAGTAGTCAGAGGGTACAGGAGCTAAAAGCGAATTATATTTTAAATTAATATTTACTTATTAATCAACTGATTAACATGAACAGTTACGTATGATTATTTGATTTTACTATTCTGTTGGAAATATAATAATTTGGAAATATGTTAATTCATATATTTAGATTTTTTATTTTTTTCGTAAGCAACAAAATGGTTCTTTTTTTCAGGTTTCATTCATCAAGCAATATCAACAGTGTGCTATTTATCTATAGGAAAATGATATTAAAAACTGGTCTAGGTCTGCATTAAATAGAATAAACTTATAGACTAACACGTTATTACATTATATTGTAATGAACAGAAATTAAAAAAATTATCTACGGTCTCGTACAGTCATCAAAATCAAACAATTTAGGATATGACGAACTTATTTCAGGATATATAGCCTAAATAAAAAACTCACCGTTAGGGAAGTTTACAATCAATTTAGCACTTCCATCAGTTGTGGCAAGGGTGGCATTCCCATTGATAACGTCGAGTCTCTGGTTGATGACTTGGGTATTGTAGACGTCGACGATACCGCCAGAGAGAGTGTACGTAGCTTCAGAGCAAGTGGCAGCTGAGTTTTGGAATTCTGATGCGTAGCTCTCAATCATGCGCCAGCGACCAGCGTACTGTTGATGTTATTCAATTTAATAAGTATACAAAATCTCACATAAACCTTTTATAAGAGGAATTCTGTTTTTATTTTACACTCTTTTAATTTTAGCTTACGTTTACATCATAGCATTGAGTATGCTATTGTTCAATTATTATCGATACCAAATAGTACGAAAAATCCAAGAAAAGAATGTAGAAATGTTTTATTTTGTTCAAAAGATATAATCACATCTAATTTTAAAACGAAATAAGCCAAATAGAGAAATAGCGTAATAAATTTACTAATACAACGATGATCTTGTATAACAAAAAGTAAACCGACCAAGATATAAATGTTAAAAAATATTACCGCTGTGGCGTTAAAGTTTTGCACGACTGGTATATTCGGATCACATTGTCCATCAAAAAGGACGGGCTCTCCAGGGTTCGTTTCTGGTAGATAGAAGCAGCCCGCGTCAGATTGGTCAATTTTTTCGTAATATTTATTATCCAGAACGTCAATTTCTGCTATCTTATTATTGATCGTAATGTTTCCAGATGCCGATAGTGTCTTTGATTTGCTCAACTTCCAGCTGTATACTGCAATAGTCATGATTGAGGGTGATTATAATTACCAGTTTAATAAATGGAGAAACAATATATTTAGAAACAAATTAAAACAATACAAAAAATATTTATACTATAGGTTCTGTAGTATTAATTATATTATATGATAAAAAAAGTAATAAAATAGTAATTACCTGCACGAGAGTTCTGGTCGCGATTGACGCAGCTGTAGGCGAGTGCGTAGTCGTTGTAGTCGGTGCTTAAGATCCAGAAGGGGATTGTGATATCTTAAAAGAAATTGTGATATCTTATAAACTTACAAAGTTATCTTCATTTTTAACCGACTTCCAAAAAGGAGGAGGTTCTCAATTCATCGGAATCATTTTTGTTTTGCTTATGTATATGTTCACCGATTGATTACTAGAAGACGCCTGAACCGATTTGAATTTTTTTTGCTTCGCATTTAAATTTTATCGAAATCGGTCATGCGGATTTAAAAAAAATAATAATGAATAATTTTTTAAATAAATTGCTTACTAGAATATATTATTAAAAAACTTTCTTCTTACAAATTACCTACTTTTTACGTCTACACTAAAAATGGAAAAATAAAAACTTAAAAAAAAGACCGACTTCCAGGCATTAAAATGTAAAAAAATAACTAAATTGGGGGTTTTCATTTTGAATAGATACCTACCTAATCAGATATTTTCGAAGTCGGTGCCAGCCTACAATATTTTAAGATATGAATATGAAATAGGTAAATGTGATTAGGTATGAACTTTAATTATAGTTAAAATATTATACATCAATTTGTGATGTATTTTATACGTATCGAAATATATTAGATTTGCTTTGCATCGGCTGGCACCGACTACGAAAATATCTGATTAGGTATCTATTCTAAATGAAAACCCCCGTTTAGTTATTTTTTACACTTTAGTGCCTGGAAGTCGACTTTTTTTAAGGTTTTTAAGGAATTTTCAATCTATTAATAATTCGTAGATTATTTAAAATTCATTAGAAAGAAAAAAGAAATCTAGCTGGTGTGGCAAGTACTAGCCTTGAATTGTCTTTTTTTTTTAACGTTTTTTGGTAAGGATGATCTATAGCATTTGACTTGCGGGTTGCCGTCGCAATCCTGCAGGCGGCGCCACTCGCCCGAATTCTGATTGGCGCGTTTGTACCGACACGCGCGGCTCATATCGTATATAAGGCCTGCTTTGACACGGCGGGACCTATACTTGTCTTCTCCCGATTCTTATTATATTATTACCTATTAACTTACGCATACTCATCCACGGTAAAGTGCTAGTGAAGTGGCCACCAAGAAGACCAGCGAGCTGCACCAGGTAAGCGACTTGCTTTTATCCCGCATAGTTGTGAGCTATTACATCATCCGCCAGGTACGTTTTTAAGAATATTTTAAGGACAGTGTTGGGTCCACGCGTCTCCACGCGCTGGACCGTAATTTTTGTTCCCACACCGCAAAGAGGGCACGGCTATTTACACGCCTGCCACTCCACTAGCAATGCTTTCGACTTGTAATAAATAATATGGTAATAACTAACAGTAAGCAATAAGCATGTGTTGCCCAATATATGTATTTATTGAAAAGAAGATCCTATCATGTTATTTGTAATAACGTTAAAAATTTCAATTTTGGTGTATCCTAGAACCTATATAGTTTATAAGTGAAGTAATAAGGAAGTCTTAACAGTTTGATCAACTCACATGATCCTCCAGACGTGAGGATAATGTTTAGTTTTCCACTGGAGTCTTGAGCCGAGGCTAAGGTGACTGTACTGTTGGTGATGTCACGAAGCTGGTTGGTGATACTGGAAGAGATGAGGTCCAGGATGTTTGTGCCGTTGAGGGAGTATTGGTGGCTGACGCACTGACCGGTTTGTTCATCTTTTGGATAGGCTTCTATTTCATACCAAGTCCCTTGGAACTGTAATTTTTCATTTAGAATAAATTAAGTTAAGTTTATCATTTTTAATTCCTTATAGCTGTTAATTATGCAATAATCTTGTTTTTCCTTTTTTTTAAAGTCCGTTACTCACCGCATTCATGTTGAAATTAGGCACAGCCTGTATAGTCTGGTCGCACTGACCAGGGAACACAACCGGTGTTCCTGGCTGCGGCACGGGGAAGTAGAAGCAGCCTGGATCAGTGTGATTTCTGTTGATGTAGTACCTGTTATCCAGAACTTGTACAGTGCTCATCAAGTTGTTGATAGCTGTCGTCGCAGCTGCATTCAACTGTTTCGTTCTGCTCAGCTTCCAGGAAGAGACTAAGAAAAAAATATCCATTAAAGGCTATTTTGAGAAATTTAATTTGATGGTAGTAGTTAGATATATTTCTATGAAATAGATATTTATTTTCTATGATTGAAGAAATTATTTTTCATGGTTAATCTTTCGACTTATAATAAAAGAAGCACAAGAAGGCGTCAAAAATTTAAAAGTTTACAAGTCTACAAACATTGAGTCAAACATTTACCTCTAAAATATTCTTCGTTGATATTGACGCATGAGTACACCAATGCAAAATTGGTGTAATCAGTACCAAGCACCCAGTAAGGTGAATATGCTGTTACTGTAAATAATAAAATTGTTTGTAAAAATAATATATAATGTTTAGATATATAGTATTAGTATAGTGATTTAGTATTTTATCTGCATTCTTAGTATGGGTTTCCCTCTGCACTAGGTCTCTGTAAGGAAAATTCGGGTACTTCATACACATTGACTTCGGCGGAGCTTGTCTTTTCTTCGTTTTTCCATACATTACATTCGTTCTATTTATTGTATTACTTTAGTTTAACAGAAGGATACAATCCTTATTAGCCAAAGTATAAAGACCACCAGCAAAAGACATAATATCCTATCCCAATATGATGCCAAAGAAATTTAATACTATTTTCGGGTTAGTTGATTCATAAAACCTAATAAATGATTGATTATCATTTAGAATTCTAGCTCTAAGCTTTAAGCGGTAGAGAAGGATAGGTTAAATGCTAAAAGTATCAAAATGCTGACTAACGAAAAGTCATTAAAATCAAGTTTATGAATGAAATAGTGGATAAATGACGTAAAATTAACAACTTACGATTAGTTCCAGCGATAGGGAAAGTCACATTAAGTTTAGCGATATTAGCGGGCCCTGTTAATACCGCGACGCCATTGATAGTGTCGAGCTGTTGATTGACCACTTGAGTGTTGAAGACGTCGACGTTAGCGCCAAGTGTGTAGGTAGCAGTTGGGCAAGTGCCGTTTTGGAAAACAACGGGGTAGCTCTCTACGTCGTACCAGGTGTTCATGTACTGTTGGATTAATATTTGAATATTTATATGTAGAGGAAAATACGAATAATTTGATTATCATGCATATTAAATTAAGTTCTATCGACAACTGTTGTTGTTGTTGTGCACATGTTTGTATTCCTAATATATTATATGCCCCAGGCTTCATATGAATACATTATATGCCCCATGCTTTATATGAAACAATAGCTTTTAAAGCATTATTGGAATGAAACTTAGCTGTGTTATCAGTTCAGATTATTATCTATAATATGTTAGATCTTTCGTAGACAATAGTTTAGCCTTATAAAAAGACAGAAGTTAAAAAAAAAATGTAGTTCCTACTAATTTGTTTACTACTACTACTACTAATGTGTTTTTTTTTAAATCGTATACATCAGTTAATACTCACAGCTTGAGGATTGAAGTTATCCACAACTGGAATGCTCTCATTGCATTGTCCTCTGAACGTCACGGGATTGCCATCTGCTTCGGGATAGTAGAAGCAGGCACTGTCCGAGTGTTCTATTCTTGCGTAGTAACGCTGATTCAGGACATTAACAGAGTTCATGACGCGGTTGATTTCAGTGGTAGCATTTGCTGATAGTTCCCTTGTACGACTTAGCTTCCATGAGTATACTGGAAATGGGAATTCATAATAAAAATTACTTTTTGGAAGAAACACCGAACTAATGTGAACAGAAAAAAAAACAGAATAACGTTGTTCATTAATTGTTCTGGTTCAAAGTATTGATATATTATATGTACGTAGATGTAACACAAAGATAGGAAAATAATTGTGAATTATGTGAAAAAAAACTAATTACGTGAACTTCAATAAATGTTTCAGTTCTATTATATTTATTTTTAACCGACATAAAAAGAACAGGTTCATGGATTTCTTAGGAAGGGTTTGACAAAAATTTTTAGTGATTATTTTTAATGAATAATAATAAAAGTTTTATATTATATATTATATATAACACAAAAGATGTAAATGTTAATAAGAAAGTTTGGAAAGGCTGATATGTCTACTTTAGAACCGGACAAAACCAGGTCGAATCGCTAGCTATATAAATATAATAAGATATTATTACCTCGACGTTGTGTGGCAGTAACGTTGCGGCAACTATACACCAGAGCGTAGGAATTGTAGTCTGTGCTCAGCACCCAGTAGTCAGAGGGTACAGGAGCTAAAAGCGAATTATATTTTAAATTAATATTTACTTATTAATTAACTGATAACGGAACAGTTACGTATAATTATTTGAAGTTACTATTCTGTTGAAAATATATTAATTGGAACTATTCTGTTAGAAATATAATAATTTAAATATGATGAAATATGTTAATTCATATATTTAGATTTTTAATTTTTTTCGTAAGCAACAAAATAGGCCTTTTTTTCAGGTTTCATTCATCAAGCAATATCAACAGTGTGCTATTTATCTATAGGAAGATGACATTAAAAACTGGTCTAGGTATGTACTAAATAGAATAAAATTATAGATTAACACGTTCTACATTTAATGCATTACATTGTAATGAAGAGAAATTTAAAAAAATTATCTACGGTCTCGTACAGTCATTAAAATCCAACAATTTAGGATATGACAAACTTATTTCAGGATATTTAGCCTAAAGAATAAAACTTACCGTTCGGGAAGTTTACAATCAATTTAGCACTTCCATCAGTAGTGGCAAGGGTGGCATTCCCATTGATAACGTCGAGTCTCTGGTTGATGACTTGGGTATTGTAGACATCGACGATACCGCCAGAGAGAGTGTACGTAGCTTCAGAGCAAGTGGCAGCTGAGTTTTGGAATTCTGATGTGTAGCTCTCAATCATGCGCCAACGACCAGCGTACTGTTGATGTTATTTAATTTAATAAGTATACAAAATTCTCACATAAACCTTTTATAAGAGGAATTCTGTTTTTATTTTACACTCTTTTAATTTTAGCTTACGTTTACAATCATAGCATTGAGTATGCTATTATTCAATTATTATCGATACCAATAGTACGCAAAATCCAAGAAAAGAATGTAGAAAAGTTTTATTTTGTTCAAAAGAGATACAATCACATCTAATTTTAAAACGAAATAAGCCAAATAGGGAAATAGCGTGATAAATTTACTAATACAACGATGATCTTCTATAACAAAAAGTAAACCGACCAAGATATAAATGTAAAAAAATATTACCGCTGTGGCGTTAAAGTTTTGCACGACTGGTATATTCGGATCACATTGTCCATCAAAAAGGACGGGCTCTCCAGGGTTCGTTTCTGGTAGATAGAAGCAGCCAGCGTCAGATTGGTCAATTTTTTCGTAATATTTATTATCCAGAACATCAATTTCTGCTATCTTATTATTGATCGTATTGTTTCCAGATGCCGATAGTGTCTTTGATTTGCTCAACTTCCAGCTGTATACTGCAATAGTCATGATTGAGGGTGATTATAATTACCAGTTTACTAAATGGGGGAAAAAATATATTTAGAAAGAAATTTTAAAAATACAAAAAATATTTATACTATAGGTTCTGTAGTATTATTTATATTATATGATATGAAAAGTAATAAAATAGTAATTACCTGCACGAGAGTTCTGGTCGCGATTGACGCAGCTGTAGGCGAGAGCGTAGTCATTGTAGTCGGTGCTTAAGATCCAGAAGGGGATTGTGATATCTGTAAAGATAAACTTACAAAGTCATCTTCATTTTTACCGACTTCCATAAAGGAGGAGGTTCTCAATTCGTAGGAATCTTTTTTTTCTTTTTTGTATGTATGTTCACCAATTGATAACTAAAAGACGCCTGAACCGATTTTAAATATTTTTTTTGTTTCGAAGGGTATTATTCTTCCCATTTAAATTTAATTGAAATCGGTCGAGCGGTTTTAAAAAAAATCAATAATGAATAATTTTTTAAATAAATTGCTTAATCGCATATATTATTAAAAAACTTTCTTCTTACAAATTACCTACTTATTACGTCTACACTAAAAATGGAAAAATAAAAACTTAAAAAAAAGACCGATTTACAGGCATTAAAATGTAAAAAATAACTAAACAGGGGGTTCTCATTTAGAACAGATACCTACCTAATCAGATATTTTCGAAGTCGGTACCAGCCGACAATATTTTAAGATGTGAATATATAATAGGTAAATGTGATTAGGTATGAACTCTAATTATAGTTAAATTATTATACATCAATTTGTGATGTATTTTATACGTATCAAAATTTATTAGAATTGCTTTGCATCGGCTGGCACCGACTACGAAAATATCTGATTAGGTATCTATTCTAAATGAAAACCCCGTTTAGTAATTTTTTACATTTTAGTGCCTAGAAGTCGACTTTTTTTAAAGTTTTTTTAAGGAATTTTCAATCTATTAAAATTCGTAGATTATTTAAAATTCCTTAGAAAGAAAAAAGAAATCTAGCAATGCTTTCGACTTGTAATAATATGGTAATAACTAACAGTAAGCACTAAGCATCTATTGTCCAATATATGTATTTATTGAAAAGAAGATCCTATCATGTTATTTGTAATAATGTTAAAAATAATACTTTCTTAGATTTACGCGAATGTTTGACATTATTAAATAAAACTATCTTTTCGGATTATTTCGCGGATTTATTTTGATTTTTGGTTCCCGACGTTTCGAATGCTTTACAGCATCCATGGTCACGGGACAGTCTCTCCCGTTTTATTTAATAACGTTAAAAATTTCAATTTTGATGTATCCTAGAACCTATATAGTTTATAAGTGAAGTAATAAGGAAGTCTTAACAGTTTGATCAACTCACATGATCCTCCAGACGTGAGGATAATGTTTAGTTTTCCACTGGAGTCTTGAGCCGAGGCTAAGGTGACTGTACTGTTGGTGATGTCACGAAGCTGGTTGGTGATACTGGAAGAGATGAGGTCCAGGATGTTTGTGCCGTTGAGGGAGTATTGGTGGCTGACGCACTGACCGGTTTGTTCATCTTTTGGATAGGCTTCTATTTCATACCAAGTCCCTTGGAACTGTAATTTTTCATTTAGAATAAATTAAGTTAAGTTTATCATTTTTAATTCCTTATAGCTGTTAATTATGCAATAATCTTGTTTGTACTTTTTTCTACAGTCCGTTACTCACCGCATTCATGTTGAAATTAGGTACAGCCTGTATAGTCTGGTCGCACTGACCAGGGAACACAACCGGTGTTCCTGGCTGCGGCACGGGGAAGTAGAAGCAGCCTGGATCAGTGTGATTTCTATTGATGTAGTATCTGTTATCCAGAACTTGTACAGTGCTCATCAAGTTGTTGATAGCTGTCGTCGCAGCTGCAGTCAACTGTTTCGTTCTGCTCAGCTTCCAGGAAGAGACTAAGAAAAAAATATCCATTAAAGGCTACTCTGAAAAATTTAATTTGATGGTAGCCTATATATTTCTATGAAACAGATATTTGTTATCTATGATTAAAGAAATTATTTTTCGTGGTTAATCTTTCGACTAAAAGAAACACAAGAAGGCGTCAAAAATTTAAAAGTTTACAAGTCTACAAACATTGAGTCAAACATTTACCTCTAAAATATTCTTCGTTGATATTGACGCATGAGTACACCAATGCAAAATTTGTGTAATCAGTACCAAGCACCCAGTAAGGTGAATATGCTGTTACTGTAAATAATAAAATTGTTTGTAAAGATAATATATAATGTTTAGATATATAGTATTAGTATAGTGATTTAGTATTTTATCTGCATGCTTAGTATGGTTTCCTTCTGCACTAGGTCTCCGTAAGGAAAATTCGGGTACTTCATACACATTAACTTTGGCGGAGCTTGTCTTTTTTTCGTTTTTCTATACATTACATTCGTTCTATTTACTGTATTACTTTAGTTTAACAGAAGAATACAATCCTTATGTTAAACCGTAGTCGTATGTCTTCATGTTGTGAAAAAATATCAATCCTGTGTGTACACATAATGTGTATTTGGTTTAACTGCCTCGGTGATGTAGCGGCTAGCATGTACGGCTGCACACCCGGAGGTCCTGGGTTCGAGTCCCGGGTCGGGCCAAGTTTAGTTATTGAGTCTTTCTGTATAGTAAGCCTCATTAACAGCCCGGAGTTGGGAAGTTGGCGGTGTTTCACTCCCGTGCCTCGGAGAGCACGTAAAGCCGTCGGTCTTGCTCCTTAACTCTCACTGGTTGTGTCGAATGGTCGTCCCACCGGAGTATGAGAGTGACAGGAGTAGAGAGTGCACTTGTGTCTGCGAGTACATTTGTGCACTATAATATCTCCTCCGCAGTTGGCTAGTCTCAATGAGATTGGCCGCCGTGGCCGGAATCGATCAGGAGAACATTATTTGGTTTACCGATAACAAGAACCAGGATTTGGTTTTAACTAGTTCTAGTCTTATTTATTCAAGAAAGACTATCAGCAATAGACATAATATCCTATGCCAATATGATGCCAGTGAAATTTAATACTATTTTCGGGTTAGTTGATTCATAAAACCTAATAAATGATTGATTATCACTCAGAATTCTAGCTGTAAACTTTCAGCGGTAGAAAAGGATAGGTTAAATGCTAAAGGTATCAAAATGCTGACTAACGAAAAGTCATTTAAATTAACTTTATGAATGAAATAGTGGATAAATGAGGTAAAATTAACAACTTACGATTAGTTCCAGCGATAGGGAAAGCTACATTAAGTTTAGCGATATTAGCGGGTCCTGTTAATACCGCGACGCCATTGATAGTGTCGAGCTGTTGATTGACCACTTGAGTGTTGAAGACGTCCACGTTAGCACCAAGAGTGTAGGTAGCAGTTGGGCATGTGCCGTTTTGGAAAGCAACGGGGTAGCTCTCTATGTCGTACCAGGTGTTCATGTACTGTTGGATTAATATTTGAATATTTATATGTAGAGGAAAATACGAATGATTTCATTATCATGCATATTAGATTAAGTTCTATCGACAACTGTTTTTGTTGTTGTGCACATGTTTGTATTGCTAATATATATTATGTGCCCCATGCTTCATATGAAACAAAAGCTTTTAAAGCGTTATTGGAATGAAACTTAGCTGTGTTAGCAGTTCAGATTATTATCTGAAATATGTTAGATCTTTCATAGGCAATGGTTTAGCCTTATAAAAAGACAGAAGTTCAAAAAAAAAGTAGTTCCTACTAATTTGTTTATTACTACTACTTATATGTTTTTTTTAAATCGTATACATCAGTTAATACTCACAGCTTGAGGATTGAAGTTATCCACAACTGGAATGCTCTCATTGCATTGTCCTCTGAACGTCACGGGATTGCCATCGGCTTCGGGATAGTAGAAGCAGGCACTGTCCGAGTGTTCTATTCTTGCGTAGTAACGCTGATTCAGGACATTAACAGAGTTCATGACGCGGTTGATTTCAGTGGTAGCATTTGCTGATAGTTCCCTTGTACGACTTAGCTTCCATGAGTATACTGGAAATGGGAATTCATAATAAAAAATTTTACTTAAATTTTTTAAAGAATAATAATAAAAGTTTTATACAACACGAAAGATGTAAATATTAATATGAAAGTTTGGAAAGGCTGATATGTCTACTTTAAAACTGGGCAAAACCAGGTCGAATCGCTAGCTATATAAATATAATAAGATATTAGTACCTCGACGTTGTGTGGCAGTAACGTTGCGGCAACTATACACCAGAGCGTAGGAATTGTAGTCTGTGCTGAGCACCCAGTAGTCAGAGGGTACAGGAGCTAAAAGCGAATTATATTTTAAATTAATATTTACTTATTAATCAACTGATAACGGAACAGTTATGTATAGTTATTTGAAGTTACTATTCTGTTGAAAATATATTAATTGGAACTATTCTGTTGGAAATATAATAATTAGGAAATATGTTAATCCATATATTTAGATATATTTTTTCGTTAGCTACAAAATGGTTTTTTTTTAGGTTTTATTCATCATTGTAATGAAGAGAAATTAAAAAAATTATCTACGGTCTCGTACAGTCATTAAAATCCAACAATTTAGGATATGACAAACTTATTTCAGGATATTTAGCCTAAAGAATAAAACTTACCGTTCGGGAAGTTTACAATCAATTTAGCACTTCCATCAGTAGTGGCAAGAGTGGCATTCCCATTGATAACGTCGAGTCTCTGGTTGATGACTTGGGTATTGTAGACATCGACGATACCGCCAGAGAGAGTGTACGTAGCTTCAGAGCAAGTGGCAGCTGAGTTTTGGAATTCTGATGCGTAGCTCTCAATCATGCGCCAGCGACCAGCATACTGTTGATGTTATTTAATTTAATAAGTATACAAATTTCTCACATAAACCCTTTATACGAGGAATTCTGTTTTTATTTTACACTCTTTTAATTTTAGCTTACGTTTACAATCATAGCATTGAGTATGTATGTATGTATTCAATTATTATCGATACCAAATAGTACGCAAAATCCAAGAAAAGAATGTAGAAAAGTTTTATTTTGTTCAAAAGAGATACAATCACATCTAATTTTGAATATATTTACTAATACAACGATGATCTTCTATAACAAAAAGTAAACCGACCAAGATATAAATGTTAAAAAATATTACCGCTGTGGCGTTAAAGTTCTGCACAACTGGTATATTCGGATCACACTGTCCATCAAAAAGGACGGGCTCTCCAGGGTTCGTTTCTGGTAGATAGAAGCAGCCAGCGTCAGATTGGTCAATTTTTTCGTAATATTTATTATCCAGAACGTCAATTTCTGATATCTTATTATTGATCGTATTGTTTCCAGATGCCGATAGTGTCTTTGATTTGCTCAACTTCCAGCTGTATACTGCAATAGTCATGATTGAGAATGATTATAATTACCAGTATAATAAATGGGGGAAAAAATATATTTAGAAAGAAATTAAAAAAATACATAAAATATTTATACTATAGGTTCTGTAGTATTATTTATATTATATGATATGAAAAGTAATAAAATAGTAATTACCCGCACGAGAGTTCTGGTCGCGATTGACGCAGCTGTAGGCGAGAGCGTAGTCATTGTAGTCGGTGCTTAAGATCCAGAAGGGGATTGTGATATCTGTAAAGATAAACTTACAAAGTCATCTTCATTTTTACCGACTTCCATAAAGGAGGAGGTTCTCAATTCGTAGGAATCTTTTTTTTCTTTTTTGTATGTATGTTCACCAATTGATAACTAACAGACGCTTGAACCGATTTGAAATATTTTTTTTTGTTTCGAAGGGTATTATACTTCCCATTTCAATTTAATTGAAATCGGTCGAGCGGTTTTAAAAAAAATCAATAATGAATAATTTTTTAAATAAATTGCTTAATCGCATATATTATTAAAAAACTTTCTTCTTACAAATTACCTACTTATTACGTCTACACTAAAAATGGAAAAATAAAAACTTAAAAAAAAGACCGATTTACAGGCATTAAAATGTAAAAAATAACTAAACAGGGGGTTCTCATTTAGAACAGATACCTAATCAGATATTTTCGTAGTCGGTGCCAAAAAACACGTTTAGTAATTTGTGAAACGTGAAAACCCCCGTTTAGTAATTTTTTACATTTTAGTGCCTAGAAGTCGACTTTTTTTTAAAGTTTTTTTAAGGAATTTTCAATCTTTTTAAATAAAACTATCTTTTCGGATTTTGTCGCGGATTTATTTGTATTTTTGTTTCCCGACGTTTCGAATGCTTTACAGCATCCATGGTCACGGGAGAGACTGAGGTGTTACATGTCTTAAAGATATAGTTGTTACAGACAGCCTACCCACAATTAACAAAATGAAAATTGCACCAATTACATTACAATATTTTTTAACTTTAAACATTTTTATAATTTTAATTATAATTGAATATGGAAAATTATTTATTTAATTTTGTTATTATTTTTATAATTATTACAATTTTAAAATATTAATTAGTAATCTATATTTAGTGTTGCCATTATTATATTTATAACCATAAAGAAAAATATAAAATGTAGTATTAATTATTAAAGCCATATAATTGTTCTATGTGTAATTTAAAAAGTTAAGATTAATTAAAAAATAATAATTTTAATTTAAATTTGCTATTATTTAAAAACAAATTATTAAGCAACACATTACTACATACATTTACAAATGAAAAAGTGAAAAAATATTATTAATCAGAAATGCTATCATTTTGATCTACACAGTAAGAACTTACTACATCTACCTGTCTGTTATGTTTATATTTATTATTTGATTTTATTATATTAATAACAGGATCCCATGACGATGGTAGTACCCAGCCATCTTCCCTATTGAAATTAGGATGTTTTTTAATTTCTATTGCTTCTCGAATCATTCTAGGGCGATATCGGTTTTCTTTCGCCAGGATTTGAGGCCTATCGAAGCGAATATAATGGCTTGGGCGGTCCTGACTGTGTTTGCACATTTAAATTAAAATTATTATTTTTTAATTAATCTTAACTTTTTCAAATTACACATAGATCAATTGTGGCTTAAATAATTAATACTATATTTTATATTTTTCTTATGGTTATAAATATAATAATGGCAACACTAAATATAGATTGCTAATTAATATTTTTAAAATTGTAATAATTATAAAAATAATAGCAAAAATTAAATAAATAATTTTCCATATTCAATTATAATTAAAATTATAAAAATATTTAAAGTTAAAATATTGTAATGTAATTGGTGCAATTTTCATTTTGTTAATTGTGGGTAGGCTGTCTGTAACAACTATATCTTTAAGACATGTAACACCTCAGTCTCTCCCGTGACCATGGATGCTGTAAAGCATTCGAAACGTCGGGAAACAAAAATACAAATAAATCCGCGACAAAATCCGAAAAGATAGTTTTATTTAAAATGTCAAATATTCGCGTAAATCTAAGAAAGTATTATGTGAATTTTCAATCTATTAAAATTCGTAGATTATTTAAAATTCATTAGAAAGAAAAAAGAAATCTAGCAATGCTTTCGACTTGTAATAATATGGTAATAACTAACAGTAAGCACTAAGCATCTGTTGTCCAATATATGTATTTATTGAAAAGAAGATCCTATCATGTTATTTGTAATAACGTTAAAAATTTCAATTTTGATGGTTCCTAGAACTTATGTAGTTTATGAGTGAAGTAACAAGGAAGTCTTAACAGTTTGATCAACTCACATGATCCTCCAGACGTGAGGATAATGTTTAGTTTTCCACTGGAGTCTTGAGCCGAGGCTAAGGTGACTGTACTGTTGGTGATGTCACGAAGCTGGTTGGTGATACTGGAAGAGATGAGGTCCAGGATGTTTGTGCCGTTGAGGGAGTATTGGTGGCTGACGCACTGACCGGTTTGTTCATCTTTTGGATAAGCTTCTATTTCATACCAAGTCCCTTGGAACTGTAATTTTCCATTTAGAATAAATTAAGTTAAGTTTATCATTTCTAATAGTTAATTCCTTATAGTTGTTAATTATGCAATAATCTTGTTTGTTCTTTTTCCTAAAGTCCGTTACTCACCGCATTCATGTTGAAATTGGGCACAGCCTGTATAGTCTGGTCACACTGACCAGGGAACACAACCGGTGTTCCTGGCTGCGGCACGGGGAAGTAGAAGCAGCCTGGATCAGTGTGATTTCTGTTGATGTAGTATCTGTTATCTAGGACTTGTACAGTGCTCATCAAGTTGTTGATAGCTGTCGTCGCAGCTGCATTCAACTGTTTCGTTCTGCTCAGCTTCCAGGAAGAGACTAAGAAAAAAATATCCATTAAAGGCTACTCTGAGAAATTTAATTTTATGGTAGCCTATATATTTCTATGAAAAAGATATTTGTTTTCTATGATTAAAGAAATTATTTTTCGTGGTTAATCTTTCGACTGATAATAAAAGAAGCACAAGAAGGCATCAAAAATTCAAAAGTTTACAAGTCTACAAACATTGAGTCAAACATTTACCTCTAAAATATTCATCGTTGATATTGACGCATGAGTACACCAATGCAAAATTTGTGTAATCAGTACCAAGCACCCAGTAAGGTGAATATGCTGTTACTGTAAATAATAAAATTGTTTGTAAAGATAATATATTATGTTTAGAGATATAGTATTAGTATAGTGATTTAGTATTTTATCTGCATGCTTAGTATGCGTTTCCCTCTGCACTATATCTCTGTAAGGAAAATTCGGGTACTTTATACATATTGGCTTTGGCGGAGCTTGTCTTTTCTTCGTTTTTCTATACATTACATTCGTTCTATTTATTGTATTACCTTAGTTTAAGAGAAGGATACAATCCTTATGTTAAACCATAGTCGTATGTTAAATCATTTTGTGAAAAAGCATCAATCATGTGAAAAAGTTTGTGTGTACGCATAGCATGTATTTGGTTTACCGATAACAAAAACCAGGATTTGGTTTCAACTAGTTCTAGTCTTATTTATTTAAGAAAGACCACCAGCAATAGACATAATATCCTATCCCAATATGATGCCAATGAAATTTAATACTATTTTCGGGTTAGTTGATTCAAAAACCTAATAACAATCACTCAGAATTCTAGCTCTAAGCTTTCAGCGGTAGAGAAGGATAGGTTAAATGAAATAATTAGTATCAAAATTCTAACTAACGAAAAGTCATTAAAATCAACTTTATGAATGAAATAGTGGATAAATGACGTAAAATCAACAACTTACGATTAGTTCCAGCGATAGGGAAAGTCACATTAAGTTTAGCGATATTAGCGGGGCCTGTTAATACCGCGACGCCATTGATAGTGTCGAGCTGTTGATTGACCACTTGAGTGTTGAAGACGTCCACGTTAGCACCAAGAGTGTAGGTAGCAGTTGGGCATGTGCCGTTTTGGAAAGCAACGGGGTAGCTCTCTATGTCGTACCAGGTGTTCATGTACTGTTGGATTAATATTTGAATATTTATATATAGAGGAAAATAAGAATGATTTAATTATCATGCATACCAATAACTATTTAACATTCTATCGATACTTTTGCAGTTATTTGTTTTCCTAATATATGCCTTTCAGTCTCAGTTAATACTCACAGCTTGAGGATTGAAGTTATCCACAACTGGAATGCTCTCATTGCATTGTCCTCTGAACATCACGGGATTGCCATCTGCTTCGGGATAGTAGAAACAGGTACTGTCCGAGTGTTCTATTCTTGCGAAGTAACGCTGATTCAGGACATTGACAGAGTTCATGACGCTGTTGATTCGAGTATTAGCATCTGCTGATAGTTCTCTTGTACGACTTAGCTTCCATGAGTATACTGGGAATGGGAATTAATAATAAAATTTCTCTTTTGGCATAAATTATATACTTGAAAATCGGAAAAAACACAGAATATCATTGTTTTTTAATTAATCTGGTTCAATTTATTGACATAAATGGAACAGAATTAGAGATAGGAAAAAGATTGTTATTATGTGAAGAAAAAAACTACGTGAACTTTAATAACTGTTTCAGTTCTATTACATTTATTTTAATCGACATAAAAAGAACAGGTTCACCGATTTCCTGGAAAGGGTTAAACAAATTTTGCTAGTTTAAATTTTTAAAGAATAACAATGAAATTTTTACATAATACGAAAGTTTTTCGTATTGTGGTTATCAGTTTTTACCAGCATTATAAATAATTAGTCGAGTGGAATTAGTCATAAATAAAAAATGACAGTACTCATGGGATATGAATGATTTCTTTTGTTTTGGGTTTTAATATCATAAAGTAAAAAGTTTACCCGTTAAAAAAACGCTGTTTTTAATATTCGTAAATAAAAAATAACAAATTTTCTAGTAATCTCCACGAAAAATTTATCAGAATTTAAAAAATATTTATTTTAAGAAAAGAATAACTGTTATAGTGTTGAGATTGTTTATACAAGATTTCTTATAGATTTTTCTTATAATTAACAAGGTTCTATCAAGACGTTCTTAGAAAATTATTTGGCTAACGGTGGCTTAACATTAATAGTATGTATGTCAAACAATGTACTATAAAATTGTAGGTCTTCGATAAGGCCTACAGAAAAATCTGCAAAAGCATAAGTCTTTCTCCTAAGGCACACTTGCAATAACTTTTTATATCTATAACGTACTTAGGGACACACTCGAACGAAGCGAGGGTGAGTCACTACCTCTAACTAACTCAGTTTATATATTTTATATTTAAACTGAGTTATTCTCGAAAGAAAAAATAAATATAGCTGTAAAAGGAATGTTCTAGAAGTAGTATTACTTTCATGGGACCACTCATAAAAAAACAGCGTAAGTTTTCAAAGGGTAAACTTTTTAGTTTTTAGTATAAGAAATTCAAAAAATCCATTCATTATAGCTCAGTTCCGAGGTATAAACGTAATTGCTATAGACTTTACGTGAGAGAATTTTTACATAAGTTAATTTTTTATGGAAATAATAGGATGTTATTGCACAACAAAATTTAGCTACTAATGTCTGACTGACAGAATAAACTATAATAAAACTTACTTCTTCTCTGGTTTCCTGTTAGATTTCTGCAGGAGTAGACCAATGCGAAAGAATTGTAATCTGTATCGAGGACCCAATAATCAGCTTCTGCAGGTGCTAAAATATAGAAAACGAAAGGTTAAGGACATCAAAAATAACGTTTTAGATTTGCTCCTTATTCAAGACAAGAAAGACTAAACAAGAATAAGCACGTTATGAATTTAGTTCGGAACACACATAAATATTTCATTAATATAATTTGTTACTATTTCATCAGTTTTCTTGCGTAGTACGAACTTCAATAAAAAATAGCTTTTGTGGAAATCTAGAAACTATCCATATTGTGATTTTCATCAAAATCCATTGAGCGTATAAAGCAAGAAACGCACTCTTAAACTTATAATCTAAATAGTTTCTTTTTGATAATTAAAAGTAATATGCTAGTACTTACTTCCAGGGAAAGTCACAAGTAGTTTTCCACTGCCATCGTCAGAGGCAGCTCTAGCGCTGCCAGTTATAGTACTTAGTTGTTGGTCAAGCACTTGGGTATTGTAAACGCTTACTGTAGAGTTGTCTGCATTCAGGGTATATGTGGCTTCGTTACAAGAGCCATCCTGGCTCTCTTGATAATAGCTTTCAATTAATCGCCACCGACCAAGATACTGATAACAAAATGGTGGTTGATTAGAAAAAATGTTATACTTATCGATTACTAAAAGACATATGCAGTATACTATCAAGATGGAGCAGAAGCCTAAACATTATGAATTATTTTAAGAATAAAATTATCAATTAACGTATTCCTTCTTCCATTGAAACGTTTTTGATGGAATTAGTTTTTCCATTACCTATTAAGGGTGTAATACTTATCATCTTAGAGCTTAGAAAAATAACTCCCATAATAATATAAAAATGTGCAAATTTAAAGTAAGTAATAAATATGTTTACTTACACTACTCAAATTAAAGTTTTGGACGGCTTGTATATTCGGATCGCATTGACCATCCAGTATGATAGGTTGTCCAAGAGAAATTACAGGCAGAGTTGCACAGGCGTCTGCCGACTGATCAATCTTTTCAAAGTATCTTTCTTCTAGAACTGTGACTCTTGAGATCGTATTATTAATAAGAGCTAGCTGCTCAGTTGAAAGTTCCTTTGTTTTGCTTAATTTCCAGCTGTATACTGTAAAGTGAATATTATTTGGCTTAAATGTATTTATTAATATTTTGGATACAACGAATATAAACTATTTATAATAGAATTTAGTGACTGACGATTACAAGATATAACAAATAAAATTGGTGATGCAATGTGTAAACTAAACTCTCAACTGCACAGTTGAGACTCTATACACCACTATAATGCATGCACAGCATACACATCATATGTTACATTCCAACTCAACTTCTCACTATTCCATTAGTCGATTATAATACAAAAAATATATATTAAACTAGTAAAAATTAATGATTACTAATATAATAAATGCTATTATTGGTTAGTTTGTCACGGAGTACCATAGTGATGGGATTTTTTCATAATTTAAGGATTTAAGAATTGATACATACTATTCATCCCAGTACATCAAGGGATGGGAATTTCGTAGGGTATCTAATAGATAGATTTATCATAACTCACCCATCCTAAAATCTGTATCCACATTCACGCAGCTGTACGCCAATGCATAATTAGTGTAATCAGTATCCAAAATCCAGTAAGGTATTTCTATTTCTAAAAACAGTAAGTCAAATTAAAATTTGCATTGCTTTTTAACTATTTGATCATCCAAATGAATGGTTAATGCAACGTAAATAAACAACATAATGCATACTTTCATATTCATGTTCTTTTTAGAGCTTTATGTTATTTTATGTTTAAAATAAAGTAAAATAAACTTAATGTTCACTAAATGTTCACAATCACTATCGAAACGAGTAGTTAGCAGTTTTATTTAAAAATATTGATTATATAAAGTTTTATAAGGCACATCATGAGCTGAACAAGGAATCATTCAAATCCGACCAAAAATTCCACATATTTACCATAAACGGGTTGAGCGGTTTAGGTATCTAGGCCATATTCTAACTGACAAACTTGATGACAGGAACGATATAGAGAGAGAACGCCGGGGGCTAGCTGTGAGATGCAATATGCTCGCGCGTAGATTTGGGAAGTGCAGTGATGATGTGAAGGTGACATTATTTAAAACATATTGCTTATGTTTTTATACATGTCAGTTTTGGGTAAAATTTCCTAGGCGAGCGATTAATAACATTAGGGTGCAATATAATGACGCATATCGTATCCTGATGAAATTGCCCAGATACTACAGCGCTTCCGATATGTTTGCAAAAGCTCGAGTGCCTGATTTTTTCGCGATAATTAGATCACGAATCGCTTCATTTTGGAATCGTTTGAGAGTCTCTAACAACGAGATCCTTGCGAAGTTGGTAAAAACTTTTGACTGCACGATTCTTAAGTTTTGGCTTTCGGTGCATCAGGAGGCTAATAAAAAATAGATTCTTATAGATTTAGTAGTAATGGCCTATATACTCAACAGCGATATATTGTTTTTAATTCTAGTTTAATTTAATGAAGAGTCTGACTGAATTTTGTTTTTATAATGTTTTTATTGACTTGCATATATATGCATAAGTGATATAAAAATTGACTTGTATAACTACATATATGTTATTATATTCTAAATTGGGTGTATACCTTTGCAATAAATATTATTATTATTATTATTATAAACCATTTGGCTTCCTCGTGTGAATATGACAAAATCATTCAGAATATGGCATTTTGTATTAAAGGTTAATTATAAAATCACTTACGTTGTCCATTAGATGTTATTGAAATTAACATTTTCGCGCTGTTATCCGTCGAAGTTATCGTTGCAGTACCGTTAGAAACAGATGAAAACTGATCTATGACACTGAAGGATGTAAGATTGAAGGCGTTATTAAACAACTGGAAATTATGCGAGACACATTGTCCGGCTTGCTGTTCCTTTGGATACGCTTGGATTTCATACCATGTGCCTTGGAACTGAAATATTATTTTTTAATTATTATATGATATTATCTTAGCCTACTAAAAGTAGCAAAAAAAATCAATCTCGAAAATTACAGCGGATTTTCTTAAAAGAGAAGTAAGGACACTGAAGAACTAGGAGTTTTTATTGAACATGAAACCTTAAGACTATCTAAAATAAAACGGAAAGATTAGAAAATTATATACATATAATATGATGAAACAATTCTAGTATGTTAGCTTATTTGTTATCCTTAGTACGGTCATGTAGGTTAGGTTTTGGGCTTATACTTGATATCTATCTTTGATTTTTTTAAATTAAAGTATTTATTTCATTTATTTATAAAGTATTCAGGTGAACGTATTAATATATAAAAATAAATTAAAAAAATATGTATTTAAGGAGTCCCGTTCGATCCTCAAAATAAAGGCGATCCAAAAACTCCTAAAAGGTGATTCAAAATTCAAAACTAGAATAGACGATGATGAATAGAAATAAACAAATAAGCATTTTTGCTTTTAAACATTTGGTTATTTGACCGATTTGAAAAAAGAAGAGTTATTTAAGTAGCTTTTATGTTTTTTGTAGGTTTGATATCTTCACCGATTGTGATTTTCATGATAATTGTTTTCGTTATTTTAATATAAGTTATACCTCAATATATGAATCATACATGTCACATAAAAATTGGCGAAAAATCATTAAATAATTTGAATGGTGCCTTAAATAAAACATAATTTATGGCCCTCTTACCCTAGTCATATCAAAGTTTGGAGTAACGGGGATATCCTCGCATTGCCCTGGGAACCTTACAGGAACTCCTTGTTTTGGTTCTGGATAATAGAAGCAGCCTGCAGGAGTTTGATCATCCACCTGATAGTATCGCTGGTCGAGTACTGGTATGGTACTAATAATTTCGTTAATAACGGTCGTACCGTTAATTGGCAGTTGTTTAGTTCTACTGAGTTTCCAGCTGAACACTGTAATGATATTAAAAATTAATTAGCATTAAAATAAAATGAAATGTCTTTATAATTAGAACCAATCATTAAATAAGTGAAGACGGTGAAGTAAGGACGTGTTTAACAATTTATCAAAAGTACTGAAAAATAACATTTTTTTTCCAAATTATTGTACATTTTTTTTGTTAGTAGTTGGAATCCTGAATGTCTTTGAAAACCTAGTAAATTTTTGAAAGACATATAAAGGCCGCCAACCCGCATGTGACCTGCGTGGTAGACTATGATCTAATCTCTTTCATATTGAAGGGAGGCCTGCGCTGAGTAGTGGGGCGTTAAAAAGAGCTGTATACAAGTCCTAAATGACTTCAAAATGGTTCGTACAAATTGTTAAAAAATCTTTGCAAAACATAATTATAATAATGACTTACCACTAGTTTGAGTCTATAAGTACATATTTTAATTCATTGTAATTTAAAACTAAAAAGTGTACATGACAATACTATGTTATTCGAGAAGGATGAAGACATAAAAACGTTAATCTGATAATTTTACTTGAAATACTTTTAAAATATAATAAATGATTTTACCTTGTCTTTCGTCATCGTTAATGTTGATGCAAGAGTATACCAGGGCGAAGGAACTATAGTCAGTTGCAAGCACCCAATAATTGGTGGAAACAGTTACTGTGGAAAATAGTATTGGATTATAGAATTAGTCTCAGTAAGTAAATTTTCGGAGATAAGTTAATGATGACGCTAACTTTCAAATAAAAAGCAAATATTTTAATTTTGAGGTACATAAACTGTAAAAAGCATAAAATGAACATTTGAGTAAAAAATCCTCTTACAAAAGCTTTGTAGCTTGCTTAAAAGTTATGCTAAAACAAATAAACATATTTGGGGCTTTCTCTTCTTGATCTACAATACTAACAAATAAAATTATTTAAACATGTTATAAAATAAAAGGTTTTTGTATTAGAGTCCTTATATCTAAAACAGCGATTATTTTAAGGCAATCTTAAGATGTGTGAATTCACAAACTGAACAAAGGCAGAAAGGGCTTTGAACAGTGATAATAGAAAAATATAAATATGTAGCATATAATGATAGAATATATACAAATATAAAATAGAATACTTATAAGAACATATTAACAATAATAGTTGAGAAAGAGCTACATCAAGGTAGCAATGGGAAATTTGCATAAGTGATGAAAAAATTTGAATGAATTGAATTTAATTTTCTTATGAATCGCTTCGAAATATTCCGGTTGAGCAAAGGAAAATTTGAATTGCTTACCATTTGTATTACCCACAGGGAAAGAAACCAGTAGCTTGGCGCTGCCATCAGTAGAATTAACGACAGCTGTTCCTGTCATGGTATCCAGTGTTTGGTTGATAACTTGAGTATTGAACACGTCAACTACATTATTTCCGAGCGTATAATGGGCATTGTTGCAGGTACCGGGAGCAAAAACAGAGGGATAGGATTCAATGCTATGCCAGATGCCCAAATACTGTGAACGAAAAAAAAAACATTTTTCTCATTATAAGATACTAAAGTTATCACAGAGGTTTTGGAAAAGAATTGTTATATATATAAGTGAAATGAATATTAGTATGTTTTCGTAAACCACTGCATTGATCCGATTATGATGAAACTCTGGTAGGTTGGTAATTCTGTATACACCTGCGAAGGATTCTGGTGCAAAGAATTTATCTTTGGACGTTTGTTACCTGAACCATTCAAGCTTAGGAACGAACCCGAGCGAAGCGAGGATAAGCTAGACTAATGATCGGGATTACTCCAAGGCAATTTAGACATCTATAATGCATAATTTTATTAAGCACTTACAGTGCTAAATAAATAAACATAAAATAAATCTATTTTTTTGGATTTTTTCAAGGAATTGTTTTGATTTTTGGCTACCGACGTTTAGAATGCTTTACAACAATTTATAGCCACGGGAGACACCTTGATCTTCGCAGTAACGACCGGTATATAGAACTTTTGAGTTACTCAACTCCTGTGTTTATTAAACTGATTTCAGAATCGGTTTACCATTTATTAAAGAGATTAGCTGTTATGCAAAGATTTGTGAGGTTCGAGAATACCATAACTTACCCCAGAGACATTAAAATTTTGGACAACTGCTGTATTCGGGTCACATTGTCCCCTGAACGTCACTGGTTGGTTAGGAACTGGGGTTGGGTAGAAGAAACATCCAGCGTCGGTTTGATTTGATGGAATTAAGTAACGATTGTTCAAATCTAATTCAGATCTTATCACTTCATTGACTGCGATTTGTGCTGCAGGAGTGAGCTGTCGAGAACGACTCGCGATCCAGGCATTTACTGTAATTGACAAAAACAATATTTTTACATATATAGTGCAGTCACTTGGTGGTTAAAGTAGCTCGTTTCATTTCTAATGCACTATAGCAAGATTCGTACAAGCGCACCGGTTTTGTTTAACTATAAACTTTGTTGTTATTTCAGCAGTGTTAAAAAACAATTAATGAGAATATTGGGGTAGTGGAAAGCAGTTGTGGATGGGATGACATCTTTTTCTCTACGCATAGAAGCGGATGTTAAAGGAGATTAAAAAAACTGTTTTTGGGCACCATTTTTCTAATATGGCGGTACGGGCGCTTAAGATACGAGGTGGCAAAGTGAATCTATAAAATCGCCAATTATCAAAACTTCCGAAAAACTTTCCAGGTAACTCCATTTTTGTGCATCAAATTACTATACTAATTATATAATTGTAAATTTAATGTAGTTTTTTTTGTAATATTAGTGTAGAATAATTTAAAAGTGATATTTAATATACTTGTTATAACTCAAAAATGTTAACTATTTCACAAACATCGCCAACTTCTCAAGTTTGGGCTGTTATTGAGAGTTTCTTGACAGAAAAACCCAATAACTATACTTTGTCCGACCCAAAACTTACTGATCTAGAGTCGTATCTGTGTATCTGTTTGCAACTAGGTCAATAAAGCAAAGTTATTAAATTATATATTTTATTACCTCTTCTCTGATTGCCAGCCAAGTCTGCGCAGGTATACGCCACTGCGTAATCGGTGTAATCAGTTGCTAAAATCCATAGAGGCTGTTGTACCATATCTGTGAAAAATATTTAGCTCCTTATTTCATTGGTATTATTAAAAGAGGTTTTTTTTGATTTGATATAGCGAATAATTTTTACTTTCATACTGTTTCGATACTAAAATTATTGTAAAAAAAATTCTACCAATAACGTATGTTATTTTTAATCAATATATCACATGAGAAGAGTTGCAAAAATAAAATATATTATAAAGGCAATTAAAGTATGTAATTAAGTCCAAATTCTATTTTTTGGCACGTCATTATTAAATTGAGTAGTAATGTTTTTATACTTCTGTATATTAATAACTGGTTACAAGTATACGTGTTGGTACGTAACTTATATAGGTAATATCTAGCTAGTATTAATTTACTATATGGCTCTCAAATTTAAATATTTTATTTAAATGAGTTTTAGCAAATATGAATTATGCTGAACAGAATTTGAAAGTATTTGTGTCATTTAAGTGCTTATAGAAAATAAAAAATCATATTTTACAGCAGTTAATTTTCATTTTATCTCTATTAGTATGTATTACAAAATAGCATTTCAATAGTTTTTAAATGATAAATTATATATCAGTATACGTTGATAACTGATAAGGGAGACGAAACAAATTACTATAACATTGTGATCAATTTTTGAATAACATAAGTAGTTCGAAAGTATGTATAATTAAATCTTAGAGAATATAACATTTTTCACTCGGGGGGTTTTTGATATTGTAACAAATCATCATATTTGAGGGATGAGAATTGTCCATTTTTTATTATCATTATCTAAGTAAGTACTTTTTTTTAAATCTATTCCTCGGCAAAAATCTTATCATATTATATATAGTAGGTAGTATATAAAAAAAATAGTAACCATGAAGAATACTAACAGTTATATATTATTTATTAGGTTACGTTTTTGAAAGCATTTGTTATATATATTTAGTGAACATTTCTTCCAATTTCACTTACTTCCTGGAGTCACCTCCAATGTGACTAGAAGTCTAGCACTTCCATCGTTACTTGCTACTATTGCGGTTCCTGAGATTGTATCGAGAGTCAGGTTCACTACTTGGCTGTTCAAAACATTGACAACATTTCCCGAGAGTGTATATTGCGCACGATTACAGGTGCCCTGTCCGTTGGTGGAAAAATAAGTCGATATCTGATGCCATACGCCCATGAACTGAAAATTTCAAAATAATTATATTTTATATTAATACGACATATTTTCAGCAAACTAAACTGTTTTTTGTTTCTCCGAGAGGTCTATAAAGCCACAAACCATAAAGTTGTCGATGTAAATCTTTATCCTGAAACTAGAGTCCAATGGAATATACTTCAACAGGTTAAATTACCACTTACTTAAAGTCTCAACTCAGTAAACTAAATTGTATCTTTTATTATACAGCAGGTACATGAATCATTTCTTTATTGAGCTTTTGACATTTAGAAACGTAATTAGCATTATAACTCACCCCTGTCACATTGAAATTTTGTACAACATGTTTATTAGGGTCGCATTGACCAGGTAAAATAACGGGCTGCCCATCTGGTATCACTGGTAGGATTTCGCAAGCTGTTGCCGAATGGTCTACTGATATTAGATCATTTGATGTGACGCCGAAATATGTATAGACTGTTCGGTTCAAGAGACCTTCCATCATGTCCGTTGGAAATGAGGTAGTTCTTCCGAGCTGCCATAGCAAAACTAAAAAATAGAAGGAAAGAATAAGCAATTAGTAACAACTAAGGGATTACCCTCTCTTCGTTCTGATGCGTTGTATTTTGCCAATTTTTTTACTAACAGTAGCATTTGTAATCTTTGTAAAGTTTGTTTGTATATCTATGTGCTAAATTTCATCTAAATTCATCCAATTTTCAACACAAAGGAGTAACCAACATATACACACATACAAACTTTTGAATTTACAATTAATTGTATGATAATATAGATGAGAGGGCCAATATGAGTTCCCTAATTAGTTATTTTTATAGAAGCAATTAATACATTACTGAAAACCGTTGATTTATATTTAATTGAATAAGTACCATTTGTTTATTTGTGGTATATATCTAGAAAATAATATCTGAGACTACTAAAACTATTCTACCATATTTTTTAACTAATAAATAGTTAAGTCAGTGGTAGCTTGTGGTAAAGCGCTTGCTTAGGAAACCAAGTGAGAATCATTTTCACCTTTATTATCATTTATCAAACGGTTAAGGAAAACTTCATGAGGAAACCTGCATGTTTGAGAGAACCTAGCAAGTTTTAAAAAGACATGTAAAATCCGCCAACCCGCAATGAGAGCGTTGTGGACTATGGCCTAATATATCTCGCATTTAGTGGAAGACTTGGTCCAGCATTGGGACTAAATACTTACAGTATTTCTTAAGTCACAGACTTTGTTTTGCGGACTTAAATTGAGTAGTTACTTAAATATGCATCATACAAATTCATACTTTTTAAATTTGTTTGAAAATCAAACTCAAGATTTCTGGTATTAAGATATTCGTAAAATATACTCTACATAACTGAAAATAAGTACATAAAAACTTACCGCTTCTATGCGTAGTATTCAAATTTTCACACGCATAACCAACCGCTAGATTGTTATAATCAGTGATTATAATCCAAAAGTCCATGGCTACGGGAAAATAAAGTAATTATTAGTCACTATTTTTATTTTAAATAAACGTTTCACATCTTTAAAATCAACTTCGGAAAATATTTAAGGTTGGAATTTTTAATCAAGAAAGAAAGTGTTCAAAGAGAGAGAGTATTTTCTATATATAATAATAATATTTGAGATGCCTAAAACTGTAGTCTCTTCCATGACCATGATTGCTGTAAAGTATTCAGGAATTAATGAATGAAAAGCTAGTTTTATATAAAAAAGAGTTACTTCAATCGGTTCAAAGTGTGCGAAGATATTGCGCAACGAACACACAAAATGAGCCTTCATTGTGCCTTTTTAAATTAACAAAATAAAATTTGGCATTATGTTACGCTTTGCTAAACAATGATGCTGTTTTTTTATCTTTAAATTACATAAGTATACTAGCGACTTACCCACGCTTCGATTCGGGGTAAATCTGTCGCATGGAAACCGTGTATTTTACCGGGATGATTATAACCTAGCCTTCCTCTATAAAGAGACTATCTAATGCAAAAAGAATTTTTCAAATTGGATTAGAAATTCCTGAGATTAGTGCGTTCAAACAAACAAACAAACTCTGCCTCTTTACAATATTTGTATAGATTAATTTAATTAGTCGACTCTTAATAAGAAAAAATATTACTTTGATATTACTGATCGACAATGTTTTTTACTATTTTATATATACTTACATGCACTTGAATTTGTCGATTCAAAACGAAATTTAGCCGTTCCATTCTGTATATTGGCATTGCCTCTTGTTTCTTCTAGAAAGTTACCATCGACACCTCTGTTGTAAACCGTTAAATTATTATTTGCTTCTGTCAGTTCTATGTACGAACAGTCCAGTGTATAGATACTCGACTCACTTCGTCTTACCACGTACCATCTTCCCAAGAACTAGAAAGAAATAAAATTAAAAAGCATCTAGAATATTACAATATTGTACCTTAATCTATATATATTTAGGAAACACTCGCATTTTATATTACATATATGTGTTCTATGATATTAGAAAGCATTTTAAAATTAATACATACAAAGTATGTAAGTAGATACTTCTTGACGACTGTCCTTTTTCATGTCTAATGTTGCACTGACTATAGATATATGTTTATCGGATAACCATAAAAATCCGGTCACTATGAATAATAACCGGTCGGTATACATAACGCCCGTATCAAGTGAGCAATGTAATTAAAACTGCACGACTGATCACTTTTCCCGTTCGGTATGAACAATGACAATGACAGCATAAAAGTTCAAAATAAGTTAAACAAACGTAAAATATCAGTAGTTACCTTACTTTTGTTTTGATAAAAATATTACTTACGACTTACAAAGATTATAAAAATCTGTCCAGCAGTTCTCGAATTATACGTGTCGTAACAAACCCGACTTTGTTTTATATAATGTATAAGTAGATATAGATTTACGAGACCACATTGTTTATTTCATCTATTCATACAAATAATAAAATTGTAACTAAGCCGAATCTGTACATTAAATATTTTTTGGAAAATCTTATTAAAATAAACATTATTATCGATACAGAGGCCGAATCTATAGTTTTTAGAATTTTTGTCTGTCTGTTTGCCTGTCTGTCTGTCTGTTACTGCATCACAGAAAAATCACTGAAGGGATTTTGATGAAATTTGGTATAGTGATAGCTGGTTATGTGGGTCAACAAATAGGATACTTTTTACCATGGAAAAATATCTCATTTCTGAGAAAAAATGCAAAAACTGCAATGTAAGAGTATACTAATCTGTAAAACTTAAGAATTTGGTTTTTGGTCATCTGAATGCGGGCGAAGCCGCGGGAAATGCTAGCAAATATATATTGCTGATTCATCCCTTATTTTTCTTCTCCAGGGGATATACTACCTAAAATTTTGATTTGGAATAGTCGCCGCTTTTATCAGAATGATTTTATCAGTGATTAATAGGCAGCGGTAGGCCAGTGGTAACGCGCTCACTTGGGAAACCGAGTGATGCGGGTTCAAATTCTGGGTTTCGCACCTCTGATATTTTAATGTGCGAATCATTTCCTACATGATTAACACTTGTCTTTCGGGGAAGGAAAACATCGTGACGAAACCTGTATGTCCGAGAGAACCTAGCAAGTTTTCGAAAGACATGTGAAGTCCGCCAACCCGCACTTGACCGACGTGATAGACTATGGCCTGATCCCCCTCCGATTAGGAGGCCCGTGCCCTGCAGTGGGATGTTAAAAAGGTATGATAGTTTTCAATTTCGGTCATGATTTAAATAAGGTCATAAATAACTTATACAATAAAGAAAAAAACAAACTTACAACTTTTTATTTGACCGTTTTGAGGTTGAATTTTCAAACATATATACTTTAAGAGAATACTCATTCTCTATAAGGAATCTATATGCAACATTTTTAGTTTGTAGCATTTTTACATTTAAGATTTCGTGATTAATCAATGAGTGAGTGAAAGGTATTTAGCTTTTATATATTCAATGACACATCCTTTTTTTTTTCTAGAATTGTAATTGTTGGTTTAATATATAACCTATAATTTTTTTTTATCAATATCTTATCGTTTTTTACTTTTTATCAGTTGCTAAGTAATCACGGTAATATATTGTTTCATAAAAAAAGAAGCGAGAAATAATAATTTATTTTTTTAGTGACACACGAAGAAATTTTACTAATATCTGTATGTAAAATTATATTATTAATTGTCTAAATTATTAAAGTAAGAATTTTTGCTTATAAGTTAGCTTCTCTTCTAAATAAATAAAAATGAATGTTCGTATGTCCTAGCGTCTCTAAACCATTGATCCGATTGTGATGAAACTCTGGTGGATTGTTCTGTATACGCCTGTGAAAGTTTCTGGCCCAAAAAAAGGATTATTCTTTTGAAGTTTGTCTTATGTCTAAAGTAAGTAATAATATGTCTAAAGCACCTAAGCAATAATTAAATTTATATTTGTTACATAAGAATTTAATCACAATTTATATTAGGTACGTTTTCTATCAGTTACTTAGCAATAACAATTGCGGTATATTGTTTTACGAATTTTATCACTATCATTTCTTATTAACGATACACGTAGAAAATATCTTATCAATAACTATTTTATTAACGTATAAGTAATTTTACAAGTATTTTTAATCATTTCCATCTGTAAAATGATAATAATCTATGCCTATACCTAGTAACCCAGTCTGAAATCGTGTAACAAATTTGCAGATCCATAAAAATACGTTACTAAGACAAAAAAAATTCAGTTATAAGTTCATTGCAAACTTACTACCGGTTCGAATATTAGCTGCAAGTGCGCCTCGCTGATACCTAATATTGCGTTCTGCGCATCGAAACGCACGATGTTTAGAGCCGCCAATAGGTTTGAATCGTACTGTACTAGAATATTTCTTTATTTTATACTAGCAGAACCCGCAGTTCCGCTCGCACTAAAACTACAAAAAAATATATATATCTAAAACGATAGGTTTCATATATATTCAGGTTTAGTACGGGGGGGATCAGGCCAAAGTCCACGGTGGCCAAGTGCGGGTTGGCGGACTGCAAATATTTTTCGAAAACTTGCTAGGTTCTTTCAGACGATTCGTTTCCTCACGATGTTTTCCTTTACCGTAAGGCAAGTGGTAATCATATTGGAAATGATTAGAACATGAAAATATCAGAGGTGCGAGACCTGGGATTTGAAACCGCTTCACTCGGTTTCCCAAGCGAGCGCGTCACATTGGGCTACCAACATACATACGTCTAATATTTTTTTAAACTTTACTTGTACTGATTTTGTTTTTTTTTGTATTAAATATTTGATCTAACAATATGCAAGGAATTGTAAGCAATATGAATAATTAAACTGCACCAAAATAATAAGCGTTTGATAACAATAAATTATCATTCGATAGCGAAAGGGAACTCATGATATCAAATGCTATCACAGATATTGATAGTAATCACATAACCATTTTAATTGCGTTTTACGTATTTTTGGTTTTACTGATTAATTTAAGCAATACAAGTGTACAAATAGACTTACAATTTATCATTTATACATTTTGCTCATATTGTAAATTGTATACTATCTGTTTTGGAAATATAAAAATAATTGGAAAGCATCCCTTTACTCGGGAACGTCCCCTAGGTATGTACTTATATAGAATGCCAATGACAATCTAAGGGTTTTCGAGCTAATTCTCCATCTTTAAATTATCACCGTATCTACTAAAAATCTCCGTCGAAAACAAACAAACAAATAAACACAGTGAAGCTAGCGCATCGTATTGTACGTTATCGTAAAGGCTAAAAACCGCATTATAGAGCTATTGATGCCGCGAAAGTTATGGTTATTTAGCTAGGTGGAATTATCCCGAGAAGACATGCTTGTATTCGATAATGGATGTGTAGTGTGTTTTAATAGTACATTTCAATACATGTGACTTAAATAGTCTATTTCTGCACTTTGTGTTAATCGCCGTGCTTTAATAGATTACTTTAAGTCACGAGTATTGTATATCCATAATTAATATTATAAATGTGAAAGTTTGTTTGTTTGTTTGTTTGTTTGTTTGTTTGTTTGTGTGTCCTTCTTGTAGGTAGAAACGGAGTGACGGATTATGGAGATATTTAGAGGGCTGAAAAGTGTACTTTTTACCGCGTGAGATTATCTCATTCCCACGGGAAAACACGTTATAATACAAGTCAAAAATATTTATGATCAGAATTACTTGAAACTTCGTATACATGCTCTTCAATACAATTAAATAAATACGTGTTTTATCATTTTTTAACCTACTTTATTTTTTTTTTGTAGTTTTAACGCGAGCGAAGCGGCGGGTTCTGCTATTTATTTTATAATTCGTGGGACACAAGCCAGCAATGAAAATTATCCATATATATTATAGTAGGACATCCTGATCTATGTTGTGGACCAATCACTCTTTTTTTCAGTTTTAACAAGCACGACCCAGGGGGTTCTCACCAACCCCCCCAACGTGCGTTCACCTTGTCGTGGTGGGGGGGGCTCAGTAGTGTACTCGCGAAGCCACGAAACGCACAGGGAGGTGGCCCGCTTCGGTGGGCGGTGGAAGGCGGCCTTCTTCAGAGGGCGGTGTACCATGCGGGTTGCTTCTCTGATAGCAGAGTGGACCGTGGAGCAACCCCATGGTTGTTGTGGTCTGCTTCGGCAGACCTGCCGTCGGGGCGTCGTAGTTGAATGCGTAAGCGATCCTGCGACGCCCCATTAAGACGGGGGAAGGTTTTGTTGGGTTTTAGTGGGTAGTACTGGCTTCGCCGGTGAGTTCCACACTTCGTGCGTAAATGCATTTCCCAACGTTAAAAAAAAAGAGGGGTTCTCACCAAAAATTTGCTCCAGGATATTTTTAATTAAAAAAAAGTAATTGTTTTTGTTGTCACAGAAAAAGAGTTCCTGTAATTTTTAAAAAAATCTATAAAAATATCAGTATTACAAGGTGTAAAAATAACATACCTAAGTTCCGCTTATGTGTTATTTAAATTTGGGTTTAGGTTACGCAGCGCTATATATTCTATTTTTTAATTAGTATCTTCTCGAGACCACTCTGTATGTATCTGCCGTTGACTCATTTTTATTTAACAAAAACAAAACCGATAAGCCGTGCGAGGTATACCATAAACGTAGATAATGGTCTGACCAATACCGTCATGAAATTGACTACTCTCTAGAAAGAGAGAAAGCGAACGCGCGCCATAATACCTTTCTTTTATTCAATTTTGAATTTATAAATTGACTGTAAAAAATATAATATTACTAAATATTATAATGGAATGTAAAATTATTATAAATTAATCGTATTTCAATGAATACAGAAAACTCTGGCCGCATATTCTGTTTATTTCTGTCG